AGTGTCTCACAGATGGTGAAGGTAAGTTGATAGAATTGGAATTAGGGTTAGGAATGGCAGAATGTGAAATAGAGGAAGGATGAGAAGGATTTGTGGATATGGAAGAAGGCTGTAGATTGTCATCAGGTATGGAAGGTGACATATTGTCACTGTCAAAGAAAGAATCTGGATTAAAAGAAGGAGAAAAGATGGTGGTGGTATTGTTGTTGGAAGACTTGTGAAAGGGGAAAATGTGTTCATGAAAAATGACATCCCGAGAGTCTTCAAGTTTATGGGTAGCAAGGTTGAGCACTTTATATGCTTTCTTTCCATATGAGTATCCTAAGAAGACACAAGATGAAGCTCTCTCAGCAAATTTGTGTCTACCTTGCTTTTGAGTGGCAACATAGCATAAACACCCAAAAACTCTAAGGTGGTTGTAAGTAGGAGGTTTTCCAAAAAGCTTTTCATATGGAGTTTTGCCCTGTAGGAGCTTGGTAGGGAATCTATTAATAAGATATGTGGCTGTAAGGACACATTCTCCCCAATAGATCAAGGGAATGTTGGACTGGAAAAGCAAAGCTCTGGAGGTTTCCAAAAGATGTTTGTGTTTTCTCTCAACTATGCCATTTTGTTGAGGTGTATTTCGAATGCTGGTTTGATGTTGGATGCCTTTGGACAGAAAATATTGGGTCATGGCAGTACTTTTACCCAATTCAAGAGCATTGTCAGATCTTATACATTTGACATGAGTGTTGAATTGTGTGTGGATCATGGTGATAAAGGTTGGGATCAAATCTGGGGCATTACTCTTGGCAGACAAAAGATAAGTCCAAGTTGCTCTAGAGAAATCATCCACAATGGTTAGAAAATAAGAGAAACCATTGTGAGTTTTGGTGTGATAAGGACCCTATATGTCTATATGGATTAACTCAAAAAGACAGACACTTTGAGTTTTGCTATGAGGAAAGGGCAATTTATGTTGTCTAGCCTTAGGACACACATCACAGGAATCAATACAACTTGTATCTCTAAAATCAAGAAAAGAGAATGATTTTAATTTGTAAGCAGGCAAGTGTCCCATTCTCATGTGCCAAAGAGTCATGTCATCAGTTTTACAAGCTTTATTACAAGAATTGAAAGAAGAACAAGTACTATGAACAATATCAGAACCTGGTGACTTCAACTGAGACTCAGGACTTCCTTTGGAAATATAAAGTCCACCTTGTTTTCTACCAAGAACCACTGGCTTCTTCATTGAATGGTCCTGCAGAATACATAGATCCTGTGTGAATGTGGTTGTAGTTCCCAGTTGGTTACACAACTTGCCCACAGACAGAAGATTGTATTTAAAACTTGGAACAAATAAGACTCCATTTAGGGCAAGACCAGGATGTAGGATAACTTTGCCAGATTGATGAACAAGGAGTTTTTGGTTATTTGGTAAGGTGACATATTGTGGAGAGGAAAGATATGTGAGATCAACAAAGAGTTTAACATTGGAACACATGTGATCTGTAGCTCCAGTGTCTAGTATCCAATCATAATCATCAATTGAAAACACAGTATTGCACAAATGGGAAGACAAGAAATCTGAAGAAACTGAGGTCATACCTTCCATGTGAGCAGAAAATGCATGGGTTTTAGGATCATCTGCAGCTCTACAACCTTGGTTGCTGACTTGCACTGTGTTGAGGAATTGGATGAACTGATTGAAAAGGGTATCAGTGCTTTGATTAGTAATGTTCTCTTCATTTCCTGTGGAGTCTTCACCAGTAGAGGTGTGAGCTGCTATCTTCTTTGCCTTATTGAGCTTGAAATCTTTTGGGAATCCAACAAGTCTGTAACACTTATTGGCTGAATGTCCTGGCTTCTTACAATGCTCACATATGACTAATTTCTTGTTATCAAATCTGCCTTTGTAACCTCCTATATTGCTTCCAGGTTTGAATGAATTGTGACTATTAACATTTAAAGAGGCATGTTCTGAGACAAGAGGTGAAGAAGCTTGAATTCCTCTTTGCCTTTCTTCATGAATCAAAAGTCCATAAGCTTGACTAACAGTTGGTAAAGGCCTCATTAGCAAAATATTCCCTCTAATAGCATTGTAATCAGAATTCAGTCCCATTATAAATTGTACAAGTCTCTGATCCTGCTCATATTTAAGCAAAGCCTCCACAGCTCCACAGGAACATTTAGGAAGGTAACAAACAAGGTTTAATTCGTCCCAAAAACCTTTCATCTTGGTGAAATAAGAAGCAATATCAGAGTTACCTTGTGCAACTGAAACCATTTCCTTCTGTAGCTGATAAAGCTTCACACCGTTGGACTGACCATATCTCTCTTCAAGCTCTGTCCAGATCTCACACACTGAATTGGCATATAGAACACTGTCTGCAATTTCCTTAGTCAGCGCATTCAGGATCCAAGAAGTTATCATGTCATTGCAGCGTTGCCAAGCGCTGAGTTGTGGTGGATCTCCAATCGGTTTCACAATATTTCCTTTCACGAATTCCAGTTTATTTTTTGCAGATAAAGCAATTGACATGGACTTCTTCCACGAACCAAATCTTTCTCCATCAAACTGTTTGGATATCAGATTCATCCCAGGATTATCAGAAAGATGAAGATATAAAGGATTCGTAGGTCCGATTGTAGAATTAGCAGGAACTCCAGAATTTGCCATTGCTAATATTAGCGATGAAAATCGATCAGTAGAAACAAGATGAAAAGAAACGAAGAACAGCAAAGAAGCTTCAGATCAGAAATCTATTGCTCTGATACCATGTTGATTTTCATGAGTCTGGCGAAGATTTCAGAGAAATCTTCGTGATGAAAGGAAGAAGAACGCTGAAGGTTGCAGCGTAAAAATAGGAACTGATCCAACGAGAATGAGAGAGAAAAATATCTGGCAGGATTTTTTCCAAATCAACTAAAATACAATACAAGCAAGTATTTATACTCAAGGACTCTAAGCCACATCATCTACTTGTCCAACTCAGCAAATAAGAGAAAACAAATAAAATGAGTTTATCTACTAACATGACTTGGTCACAAAAAAGAAATTCCTATTTGAACTAAAAAACAACCTTCATACATCTAATACGTTTTAAATTCTACGGAGTGATAAGTATCCAAACAAGTTTTAGGATGAAATCTCACAATTCTATGCTATGCGATGGAGCAGCTAGTTAAATTTAATTCATATTGTATCAGCCAATTGGAATGAATGACACCACTATCATAAATACAAAGATCACATTGTCATTGGATGAGGCACGCGAAATGTTACAATTGTATGTTTATTTGCGTTCACTGTTTTTTTACAGTAATATCGGAAGATGCCAATGCCTGATCTGGAAATGGAGAAAGAAAATGTAGCTGTTCTGGCTCCACATGGATTGAACTATGATGGAAAGAATTGTGCATTAGAAAAGGAGCTGGAAATGACCAGAGCTAAACTAATGGCTTCCGAGCAAGAGGTCACAAAGTTAAAGGCTAACCTATCTGGAGTGATGACTGAAAATGCTCATCAATCGAGGCAATTAGAAATCCAAGCTTATGAGCATCAAGTTGAGGTATCACATTTATTTTCCAAAATCAGTTTTTTGGAGAACCAGCTAGAAGGCACTGCAGAAAAAATTGAGAGATCAGAAGAAGAGAATTCCGAGTTAAAGCGCGAATTGCAAGCCTTTAGAGCCAAACTTGATTCTACCAAAAGCGATGCTTTGGAATTGGAGGAAAAGTACAATTCCAATTTAAAGAAAGCCAATTCAGAGAAAGAAAAGCTCCAATCTGCCATGTCTGAAGTTTCCGAACAGCTAGCCTTACTACAGGTGAAAAAGGAGGAAATGGAATTGAAAAACAAGGAGTTAGAAGACGAGCTCATTATATCCAAAGTAGAAGAGGTTTGCTTGCAAGCAGACCGTGAACGTTTGAAAAAAGACCTCGATGCCCTCAAGCTGAATTACGACACTCTAATGACTGAGAAAGATGAGACCAACACAACACTCTCCTCCAAAAACAGTCAAATTCAGCAACTGCATTCCAAGTGTTTGTTTCTAAATGAAGAATTCGAGAAAGCGGGGAAACTGGTTGATGAGCTGCGATCCAGAGTGAACGACTTGGAGGAAGAAATTGAAAGGCAGAATGACGTGATCTCAGATAGGGAAGATGAGAAGAGGGAGGCAATAAGGCAACTTTGCTTCTCACTTGAGCATTACCGAAATGTATACCTGATGATGCGCGAGGTAAGCCTTGTTAAGAAAGAAGGGACCAATGATCATTGTTCCTTGATGTGTTTTCCTTGATTGTGTTTGGGTTCCCAACATTGGATTGTATGTGTGCCATTTGTTGTCTTTCTTGTTTTTCTCAACTGAGATTAACAACCATTATTGTGTAAGGATTTGTGGTCTTGTACCCTCAAGGTTAAATTTGTTATTTGTTCTTTACTTACTCTTCAATTAATTTGCCCATGTCATCCAGTTTTTGCACATTTAAAAGGCAGTAATCATATTAATATGATGATATTTTTTTATGTGAAATTTAGTCAGATCCCCTAACCCCTCGAACCTCCACCCTGACCTCGTCACCACCCCCCTCCACACACCCCGACACCCCAAGCATCTCACCGTACCTGACCGTCTTTTTGCACCTCTGTCCCATTTGTTGGTCCCGGATCCAATGGACATTGTACCACATTCAAAAATATATCTCAACTACACATATTTTAAAAATAAATTTACTAAAAAGTACGTAGTAAATTGTAATTTAGTTTTGATTCGAATGAAGTATTGATGATTATTTTTGTAAACATAGACCCCTCAATTTTTTGAAACCATGTGCCATTGCACGGGTCACTTTTCTGTAATACAAACAATACTTATCGGTATACGACATAGATAAATTTTATTTACAGTATAAATATAAAAATGAAGTCATGTGCACTTATTGGACATCAAAGGAGGCTTTTGGAGACAATTTATGTGTGAAAATTTGATAGCCAGATCTTGTGTGGAGTATATGAATTACTTATTTGATGTACACAAAGTTTAATTATTTGCTATACTAAGCGTTTGGGCTTTAGCAAAAATAATTAAAGTGAAGAGTAAGTGATAGGTGTGATACATTATGCATTCTTAATACCCCAGTATATTTCTTTGTCCAAAAAAAGTTCATATCTTAACTTTACAAACTCATAAAAAATATATATTAGGATCATATACTCACAACTCACATCTAATAAAATCTCATAATATAATGCTTGTTTTCAAGGAGGAAAAATGAAAAGGCTAAAAGAGTAAATTGTAGAGGAACACAAAATTATCCAACGAATAAAAGTGAACTAACTCTATATTTTTAACCTCGTGTTTTAAACAGACATGCATAGACAATAATTATTTACCGCACAGATAATTATTGTTTGTATTGCACGATAGTCTATGTGGACTTGTTCTTATTGATTCCGATCTAATTAGATTAATTTCTGATTTGATCTGGTCTGATATCATCTAAATGTAATCATAGTTAAAACTATTTCTATTCTAATTCCGATAAGTATTCCGTAATAAATAATACGAATAAGTTGATAGAGCAAGTATATTATGAGGTTACCCAAACACAACCCATGTCCAATAAGCTAAGTCATGTTCTCCCCAACTTATTTTTTTACTTATTACTTATTCTTATTGAAATCAGATCATGTCATATCAAACCAGATCAGATCACAAATAGCTTTAAATATAACTATATTCAGTTTAGATCAGATGAGACCAGATCAAATCCGATTAGAACTTATTCCAATCAGATCAGGTGAATAGAACATGACCTTAGGTTGCGTTCCATTTGCCTAATCTGATCTAATTGCAATTATAATTAAATCTATTTCTGATTTGATTTAATCTGGTCTGATATGATATAATCTAGTCTGATCAGATTAAATAATACTCCCTCCGTCCCTAAATATTTGCAACATTTGCTTTTACAGCAGTCGCGAGAACTTTTTTTTATTTCTACGTTTTGATTGGTTATTTGATAAAATAAAATATTCTTGATACCTCTTATTTTGAAGAACTTTTCATGTAGTTTTTTTATATGTAAATTTTATTTTTTATATATCTGTACCAATATATGAATAACATGAATTGAAAACTTGTCGGGAATACAAGTGTGACAAATATTTCGGGACGGAGGGAGTAAGCCTTAAAAATAAGTGGAAGGCCAAAAAAATTACTCCCTCCGTCCCCAATTTGATTACAAATTGCGGGTTACAGAGTAAAATTTCCTACTTTTTGAAATCATTTTATTTACAAATTGGTATATTAATAAGATATAAAAATTACATTTAAAATACTACGTCAAAAGTTCCACAAAACAAGAGTTGACAAGAATATTTTATTTTATCAAATACTCAATGAAATCGCATAAACAAACAAAAGTTATCGAGAGGAGAGAAAAAAAATTGTAATCTATTTAAGGACGGATGGACTAGTTTTTTTTTTCTTTAGGTGTTTTTTTGGGCAAAGAAGAAGTGCAGTCTTTTTTACCTTAATCGCCAGAAGAGAACACGTTGGTTTGTCCTGTCCCGATTCGGCGCGTAATTTCTCCCTTCATTCTTCTATCGGGGAAACCGGTGAGGTAACGACCTCAGCTTTTACAGTATTTGCACTAAGCCCTTCAATTTTTCTCGATTTTCCACAAATTCACTTCAATATCATGTTCCTGCTGCGCGTTTATCGTATATCCCCTACGGACCAGTAAGAATTTGGTTCTCCGTGAAGCCATGGGCCGAAATAAGCAAACTCGGCCGCGTCGTTCTGTTGGAATTCGTGGGAAGACAACTCCTAGGTCGGAATTACATGATAATGACCATATTAATGATGGTAGAGGTGAAAAAGGCAATCTTGGTGTTGTTGATGATGAGGAACCATTTTTAGTTGAAGTTGATCAGTCCAATTGGTCGTCCGAGGAACATATGGATATATCAGAGATTGTGTTGTCGGATTTGAGCATAAAGGAAGAATTTTATGGTTATAGATTAAGTAATCATGTTTTCGAGGGCTCGGGGTATGTATTGAGGTTGAGATTGAGTGGAGTGAACCAGCATCTTAGTAGGATGAAATTAGGGCATTGGCCTGTTTTGCCTGCCGCGAGCATTGTCGTGGAGCTTTTGGCGAAGCATGTGAATGATGAGGGCAAGGAAGAATGCCTTGTCATGGTTTCGGGAAATCTTGATGGACCCGATGAAGGTGTTTCCGGGCTTGCCCACTTAGCTAGTTTGAAGTTCTTGACATTGAGGCCAGCAATGGAAACAACTGTTTCGGAAGGGTTATCGTCTGTTAGGATTAGGGTGGAGATTTTGAGGAATGCATTTGGTGCGTGTGAGTCTCTTCTTGATAATTCGAGACAAGTTTGGAAGAAGAGTATGAAAAGCATCATGGCTTGGCTACGTCCGGAAGTTACAACTTCAGAGGCTAGATATGAGTATAGCATCAGAAGGGACATAGATGGGAGCTCATCCTCTTCGAAGGAACACGCCAAACTTGATGTTGCTAGTTTCTATGAAGCCATTAAGCCATCAAAGTGAGTGTTGATACAATTGTGATATATTTCTCTTTTTTTTTTTTTAAATAAAAGGAGCTATGGCATTCCTTTCTGGATTGGTTTATTACTCCCTCTATCCTAAAAATAACTTCTCAAATTGAAATGACACACATATTAAGAAAGTGAAATGTGTAGTTGTGGTTGATTTAGAAGTGAAAGAATTAATTTGGGACCACACAGTTTTCCATGAAAGGTAATGGGAAGAAAGTTTTTGGATAACAAGAAAAAAGAAAAAAAGGAGAAGAAAGTTTTGAGATAGAGGGATTGATTTTGTTCTAAATCGTGCAGGGATGAACCTATGTTGGATGACTATCTTCCTAATTTGGTTCCTGAGCTTAGACCATATCAACGACGCGCAGTTTATTGGATGTTACAGCGGGAGAAAGGCACTTATGAACCTAGCAAAAGAAATCCATCTGTTTCTCCTCTATGCATGCCATTGACTTTAATAGAAAATTCTGCTGCTGTATACTACAATCCATTTAGGTATGGTATATTGTCCTCGCATTGCAAATTCATATGGGTATGGCACTTGGCTTAGCATGAAAGCCAAACATTCTCAAATCTCAATGCATTTGATACAGCTAACTGGCTACATACTTTATTTAAATACAGAATATCAAATACTTCTACCTTATTTTGGACTTATCCGTCCATTTATTTTTGTGTGTTTCATGGAAAAAGTAGCAAGCATGCGGATTTAATGTTTCCCAAGTTTTTTTCGTTATCTCTCTATGCAACATGTCACGTCTGATTAGTTGTATCTCACAAAAAAAAAAGAGAATCTGTTCCATCACCATCATCATTATTAGCACCTCGATCCCTACTAGCTGGGGTTAGTGGCATTGAATTTGTAGTTCCAATTAGTTGGATAAAATTAATTAGCACTCCTAGTTCATGAAAAAACAGTGACATTGGTTTACACTAGAATGTTTCCTGTGTGAGTCTTCATAAGATGGAATAATGTGATGAATATTCCAATACTGCCATCATCAAGGTATTTTTTATATTGATTTTCAGTGGAAATGTATCCCTTCATCCAGACACTTCCTTCAGTTACATTTCTGGTGGAATTCTAGCTGGTAAGTCAAATCATTGTATGTTCTCTACTTCAAACCAATTTTTGATATGTGTAACAACCAAAAGTCATTTATTATCATGGTGTTTTCTTGTAGATGAAAACATAAAAATATAAGTGTTGCTAAAGGTCTGCATTAACTCCATAGTTTGTAAGGCACCAAGGTACCTTCATATCGTCTAGGCGTCATATATATATATATATATATATATAATATCGTAGGTCACAAGTGGAAGTCAAATCTTTTTAAACATTTAAAATTATGCTTTCAAAATAATTGGGCTTTTCAAAAATTTAAAGGGGCCCAAGGCGTCATGGCAAGAGTAAGGAGGAAAAATGAAATTGTTTCTAGGCGAGACGAGCAGACTCTCTTTAAATTGTGACCAACGTGCAATCATGTTTTTTTGCTCAAATCTTTACTTTTCATAATGAGTTGCAGAGGAGATGGGCTTGGGGAAAACAGTTGAGCTGCTTGCATGTGTCTTTGCTCATCAGGTGACATCAACAGCAATTGGAAGCTTGTCTAATTCAGCGGAAGTTCAGGGGGACATGAGAAAAGACCTTAAAAGATTGAAGCGGGAGAGGGTTGAGTGTGTATGTGGTTCTGTCAGTGAAAGCATTAGATACGAGGGATTGTGGGTACAGTGTGATGTTTGTGATGCTTGGCAGCATGCAGATTGTGTTGGATATTCACCACAAAAACGCAAGAAACGGATGGAGGATTTTGAGCAAGACGGTGAGGATTCATCAGGAAAATCCCAGAACCGTGCAAAAAGGAAAACCAACGAAGAAATAGTTGAGATGGATGGGGTTTATATTTGCAGGGCGTGCACAGAACTAATCCAAGCCAGTGAAGCACCTGTTTCATCAGGGGCAACTCTTATAGTATGCCCTACCCCTATATTGCACCAATGGCATGCTGAAATTATACGGTATTCTTGTCCTTCCTCTTTTTTTGTATACTATCATATCGTGGAAGCGTATTATTGACTACTTCCACTAGCGTATTATTACGTAAACATAAATAATTTTCTTTAACATTTCATTCAGTCTGAGAAAAGGATAATCTATTGAAGGAGCCCGGTTTTTCTATGATGTTTCATACGGATGTGTGCCTTTTTTCTTGTTATAGTTTTGTGACTTAGTTCTGCTATGGTACACGTATCTGATTTTATTTGAAATCATGACTTATGTTTCAACTCTCAAGTGCTTTTATTATACTTGTATATATGGGTATATATATGTGTTGTTTCTATATGCAGACACACCAAACCTGGTTCATTGAAAACATGCATATACGAAGGCGCTAGATCAAGTACTTTCTCGGAGATACCTACCATGGATATAAATGAGCTTCTCAGTTCTGACATTGTCTTGACAACCTATGATGTGCTCAAAGAAGACTTGTCACATGATTCTGATAGACATGATGGTGATCGCCGCTTTTTGAGATTTGAGAAAAGGTATCTTTAACTCTAGTTTCTACTTTCTAGTAATTATCTTTGTTTCCTTGGCTTGTCTCTTGCATCATGACTAATGAAGAGGAAGTATTTATGAATGGACTCCTTAACATTTTACATATATTTTGATTTATAGTCATTTTGTAATAGAAATACATAAGTAAAATGAGTTTGAACAAATATCTAAAATTTATTTACCAACTTTTAGTCCATTTTATTTTACTTGTTTCCCTTAACATTTTCTGGTTTCCAAACATACCCCTAGTTCCTAAACAAGCTATGTGTATTGTGCAGATTTCGGGTTATTCCCACTCCTCTCACTAGGATATTATGGTGGAGGATATGTTTAGATGAAGCTCAAATGGTGGAGAGTAATGCTGCAGCAGCAACTGAAATGGCACTAAGGTTACATACAGTTCATCGATGGTGTATAACTGGGACCCCCATACAAAGGAGACTTGATGATTTGTATGGGCTCTTGAGATTCCTGAAAGCAAGCCCATTCAATGTTTTTAGGTGGTGGACTGATGTAATTTGTGATCCGTACGAGGTTTGTTATAACTAATGAATCATTATTGCTAGTAGCATGCTATATTGTCTATCAACTTCTTGCCTATATGGAAGATAGGTGCAGTTATGATAGGGAAGCTTCAAAATTGCTATGTTTGGAACAGAAACGGTAGCTGAAGGAAAAAAGCTTTAGAAATTTTTGGTTTTAACTTGGAAAATAATAGTTGAAATACTAAGGAAACTCAATTTGATTTAAAAACATAATTTTAATCATATTTATATTTCTTTGTTTGTATATATGGAGTATGAAAGGTTTTATTCCCCAAGTCGCGTTTCCTTCCAAATTTGTCTTGTAATTTCTTCCATATTTGCTTTCCCTAGCATTTTCAGAGTTCTAAACGGACCCTTAAAGGTTTCATAGTTTTATCACACTTTTTCTTGTCCATATTTTCATTATAACATGTATCTTACACTGTGTTTTCATCAATATTTCATGTAATATAGAGGGGAGATGAAGGAGCCATGACATTCACACACAGCTTTTTTAAACCACTAATGTGGCGGTCATCAAAAGAGCACGTTGCTGAAGAATTGCAACTTCCTCTTCAAGAAGAATGCATATCTTGGCTTTCTCTTTCACCAATTGAGAAGCACTTCTACCAGAGGCAACATGAAACTTGTGTGAATGATGCCCATGTATTCATTCAAGATCTGAAAGATAATATTCAGAAGAAGAAACCACAAGGTTTGTTGATAATTTATATTTTGTTGATAATTTATATATCATCATCTTTTTTTAAGCTTCTGTTATGATTGTTCAAATTTGTCCTCAGGTACGGAAGTGTCTGACTCTTTATCTGGTGTTATCATCACTAATATGGATGCTGCAAAGCTATTTAACTCACTTTTAAAGCTTCGACAAGCATGTTGTCATCCACAAGTGGGAAGTTCTGGCCTGCGTTCTTTACAACAGTCTCCCATGACCATGGAAGAGATTCTGTTGGTATGTCACTTGGGCTATCAGCTATGTTTTGAACACGGAAAATGGTAGGGGAAGGATGAAGGAATAAACCAAGTAAATTAGGTTTTTAAAATCTTTGGTTTTACTTTGGAAAAACATAAGGAAAATCAGTTTTGATCAAATTATTTTAAAATGTCGCATATATTTTGTAGCCTATATATAATAGAATTATAATATTCCGTATCAGTTTGAATAAATATCTAAAAATGTTTTATTGAGTTTGAATTGGTCTCTTATTTTTTCTCTAAATTTTCTTTTCTTGCCATTTTCTCCTTTGTTTTCATTGTGATTTTCTTTCCCTAGCATATTCTGGATTCTGAGCTAAGATTCCCTGCAAAAGATACAGCCAGAGCTATCAGCTATATGTAGGTTTATTGTTTGAAGATGTTTTGTGTGTGTGTGTGTAGGTTCTTGTAGGTAAGACCAAGGTAGAAGGAGAAGAAGAACTCCGAAAAGTAGTCGTTGCCCTCAATGGCCTTGCTGGCATATCTATTATTGAGAAAGATATATCTCAAGCTATATCATTGTACAAAGAAGCACTTGCTTTAGCTGAAGAGCATTCTGAAGACTTTCGTTTAGACCCTTTATTAAATATTCACATACACCATAATCTTGCCGAGATACTACCAAATGATTCTGATGGCTTGAAGAATGTTCAATCTGATTCCCTTATGGTGGAAGGGGTTAAAGATGATATCCAGAACTCTTCTAGGAGTGAGAGTGAATTGATGGTAGTGCCAAATTTGACCATTAAGAATCTATCCAATTCATATGTAGAGCCTGAGAGGCTACATTTGAAAACATCTTGTGAAAATCTAAAGCAAAGGTACTTGTCTGCGTTTAATTCGAAGTTGTACGTGGCTCAACAAGAATTTAGGAAGTCACATGAGCAGGTATTTGATACAAATATTTGGATATCTTCTTTATAAATCCCCTCATCCCTTAAGAAACTGTGTTTGATTGTTCATTTTGAAGGTTTGCAATGCGTTTACTGAGAAAAAAAATCAGCATACAACATGGTGGTTAGAAGCCCTACACCATATTGAGCAAAACAAGGATTTGTCAACCGAGTTCATCCGGAAAACAGGAGAAGCTGTTGCTGGGACACTGAACACTAGTGCTTCAAGGGTTGCCTCCTGGTTAGTGATGGGCCTTTTAATTGTATATTGATTTAAAGCTTCTCAAACACATTTTACTTGATGCCTTGATTAGCAGACATTATAAAGGCATGTAGTTTTGTAATTATCATTGGTTGAGATGGAGAGCTAAGAGCTGTTCCATTAATATGACTGAATGGGCTGAATTTTTTAATATTATGCTTGAAATGACTAATTATCTGTGTGATGAATTATCCGAAACTGTACTTGTTTCTTTAAGAAATTAATGGATATATCTAAAAGCTAGGAGTAGAAATCTCATTTATCTTTTCAGCCAAAAAATAACTTTGACATTGCTTTATTAGTTATTACTATCATCATCATCCAAAAAGTAACATCTTGTATTGTTTGGTGCACAGCTTCCACAGCATATCTGCTATGAAGTATTTCATTCAAACGGGTTTAGACTCATTGGAAGATTCTAGGAGAATTTTACTTGATAGACTTTTGGATATTGATCAAACAATGGGCAATCCCAGGAAGGAGGACATAGAGCGTGTGAGATACTGTCCAAAATGTTATGCTAATTGTGAAGGTCCCATGTGTGTTCACTGTGAGCTTGATGACTTATTTCAGGTATTATTTTCAAACTAGTGTTCCTATAATCTTCTTCCCCCTCTGGTAAATATTAACTGAGGCTATGTTTTGATCCTGGAAAATATAGTAGATAAAGGAAATTTGAAGGTAAGGCCTAAAATCTTCCATAGCATATCTGCTTTAAACTTTTTTCCCTTTTTTCTAATGTTAAAAGAATTTTCATATATTTGAATTTTTTAATCTTTATGTCATTAGAATTTATAAATAAAATGAGTTCAAACAAATTTGACAGAACAGATTTATTGAGCTTGAATGGGGTTTTTTATCCCCCTCCCCTCCCCCCCCCCCCAAAAAAAAATTGTTACCCCATATTGCCAAATTTCTATCTCTCCCCCCCCAACATTTTCCAGGCTTCAACTGGACACTAATGGCTCAATTGTTATTCTGTTTGTATGTAAAACCATCATTTCTAGAGGTACGAGGCCAGACTTTTTCGACTTCATAAAGGAAAACATGGGGAGGGAATTACATCTGCCGAGGAGGCTGTTAACCTGCAGAAGAAGATGTCTGCTCTAAACCGGTTTTATTCGACTTTGTCAAAATCTAACAAGAAATCGACTTCGTTGACTCATGAATCAGAAGACAATGGAAATAAGAGAGATACACGAGAAAGAGTGCTAGTGAGTAGCTATCACCTATCATCTTTGTTTATTTTGCAGTACTCCATCCGTTCTTTAATTAGTGCCATTTGTAGCAAATAAATTGTTATTAAAATGTGCTGCTTTCAAATATCAAAGGAACATCACTTGCTCATTTCCCATATTTAAATGGTCCATAATACTTAGAGTATGTCTTTAATGCATTAATGCTTCACAACCTAGTCATAATGTAATACATGTATCATGAATGTGGAAAGCTTCTTTAATTTGTTTTTCTTAATGTGTATAAAGGTGTAAAGTGGCACTTATTTGGGGATGGAGGATGTAACATCTGCGTTCTTGCTTATATTTTATGTGGTTAAGAGTCTCCTCTTGCTGTGGTACCCAAGGTAGTTTTCTAAATTGCGCATGGCAAAACCACAATATGAGCTCAAAAATTGTCTTAGCATTCAAAATGCCACCTAGTCATCCGAGTCACCACCTGCGCACTTACAGCGGCGCCTAACTGCCTATCCTTGCAGTATTTTCACTTTTAGAGGGGGCAATTTGTGTATTTTTGAAATTGGGAACTTTGGGCTTTGAAGTTTGAATTATCTAGCAGGTTTGGAATGAGGAATTCAGTATTAGTGCTTTAAAAGTTTATCTCTGAATTGTTGTATATTATACGTTAAAAGCTTTGTTTTAAATAGATTTTTCTGCCCAGTACCTGCACTGTCGTCTGCCTAGGCCCTACTTAAGCGCCACAGCCTGACCAATCAAATGTAATTGACACAAATTCATTCTAGAAAGATGGGTGAGTGATAATCTTGAATAATACATTCACTAAGGGCCCATTTGGTAAGTGTTGGCTGAAGTGGCTACTGAATTTTTTGAAGGGAAAGATTTGGTAACCACTAACCACCATTTTAGCCAAAATTCCAAATGAGTCAAAAGCTACTTATTGTGGCCTTGTAAGCAGAATAAGACATATTGCTACCAAATGAAGCCTAGAAATTGAACTTCTATACTGAGCTAGATGCCATCACTTTTTCTCTTTCCCTGGGCTTTATGCATTTTGTCAGCATAGTCTCTAGTAAAAGCATTCGTGTATGAGAAATTGATCTGTTTTGAACTAAATAGAATTTGAAATGAGAAAGTGTTAAATACTCCCAGTTGTTCATTTCTTGGATTGTTTTATTTTACTTAAAGAGGCATTTATATTTCTTATTTTATTAGACCGGTTGTATTTTTATAACTTATTACATTGCTCCACTTTCCATGAATAGGTTTCAAAATCTCCATCTGACCTGGAGGTGGTGCTGGGCATTATAAAGAGCAACTCAAGAGGACTATTAGATAGAGAGGGCATGTCAGCAGCAACAAAGCAACTTCTTCTTTTAGAGGTGCTTTCGGATTTTCTTATATATCAAAATCCACATATACTCGTAATTTCAGTCTTGTGTGCTTTCTGGCTTGGTAAGAGAAATCAATTTTTTATTTACTTTGAAATTGTGTGAAGGGGATGCGAAAGGAGTATCCACAAGCAAGGTCTCTCGCAGTTGCTCAAGCTCAAGTTCTTCGTGCCTATGATGAACTTAACATGGCAGCCTCTCGACTGCGCTTACGAGAAGATGATAATGATAAGTCTATTGATGCACTTGATATAGGGGAATTGGTTACAGCAAATGCTGAATTTTCAAGTGAAAAGTTTGTGGCTTTGTCTTCTCTATCCAGAGTAAAAGGGCAACTCCGCTATTTGAAGGCAAGATACCAATACTTAGTAATTTAATATTGTTTGTCTTTTAACTAAAGACTCCCTTCATCCCATATTGACCAAAGGGCTCTTTATAGGGTCTGGTGCAATCTAAACAAAAAGGAGAAAGTACGAATGACCAGGCAGCAGTGGCAATTGGGGGATCCAGAAGTTCTGAAGAAGAACAGGATGAGAATTCTATGAGAATTGAGGATTCATGTCCAGTTTGTCATGAGAAACTCAATAGCCAAAAGATGGTTTTCCAATGTGGCCATCTCATTTGCTGTAGATGTAAGTTACTTAGGGTCCGTTTGGTATAAGGAATTGGAATTGAAATTCCATGGGATTCAATTCCATAGAATTGAATTATGTCAATTTCAATTCATTTTTTGCACTATCAATTCCAAATCCACATAATTTTTGTGCTACCAAACACCAGAATTGGAATTGAAGTCCCCAATTCCAATTCCATAGTTTGAACTCCATGTACCAAACGAGACCTTAGTACATTGCATACACATTCACATTTGCATTCAATTCATGGGTAAGAGGTGCCTTTTGGGGGAGGATGCACAGAAAGAAATTGAACTGTTTGATTTATCATACTCTCTCCGTCCCATTAAAGTTTTCCAAAATTCATTATATTGATGTCCCCTGATACGTTTCCACTATCCACTTAAGAAATGTGTGGTACATACATTTCATTCCTCTTCTCAATAAATCTCAATCACACACTCCTCTTGTCCTCTAATTACATAATCTCCATGCCAATGGAAAATTCTAATGGGACGGAGGGAGTATTTAAGTTCAATTTCTGACTGTGCACTCCTGTAGAACCTTTCGGACTACTTTCAACCTAGACATTTGAAAATTTTTCAGAATGATTCTAAAGTCTATACCAAACTCAGAAGACCTGCAACCACATATAATCTCTTTACATTCACAAATTTTATAATCATCAAATCGAAGATTTCAGGAAAGTTGAATATGGGTGCTCCTGACTTGTGTATCGCTATATTTAGCAATCGGTTTATCTAATGAACGGAATTAATTAATACTTAATGAATCTGTATTAAAGTAAGACATCCAAAAAGTTGGCCTTTTATTTTTTAAAAAGAAGTCCAAGTGTGGCGTGCCTTCAATATTTGCAGGTTTGTTTGCCTTGACTGAGAAGAGATCTGGTCGCCTCGGAAAACCTGTTACTAGCTGGATAATGTGTCCAACATGTAGACGGCAGTCTGATTGTAGAAATATTGCATATGCCGTTGATGCCAAACCAGACAAGACTCCCTTTGCTATCTCTAAGAATTGTGAAGCTTCTATTACCGTACATGGTTCATATAGCACAAAGGTATTTTTCACAAATTTGTACTTTTATCTCTTGCCTTTCAAAAAAAGTCTCTCCACTCTTTGAAACAGAGGTAAGGTTTGCCACATCTTGCCTACCGGGACCATACTATTGAGTGAGCTATACTAGGTGTGTTTGTTTCTTTATTGTTTTTGTTCTTCAAATGTGAACGTTTTTTACTGCCGATTCTGAGAGACGTGGTTGCAATAAGAAATTAGTAAGCTAATCACCTTGCTTGTATATGCACTGAGCTAAAGTTCTAAATCTTTTAGCCTCTAAATACTCCCTCTATCCCATAAAAAGGTTCCACGTTTCATTTTTTAATTGTTCCAAAAAAGAATCTTCTTTCCTTTTGAGGAAGGTATTTTGTGGTTCACACAATTTCTCTTTCATCTGCACAAAACTCAACCACACATTCCCATCCTTATTTCGCGATGGAGGGAGTTTTTTTCTTTGTATTAAAAGCCGCTACAATTGTGATGGGTGGTTTTGTAGGTTGAAGCTGTGGCAAGAAGAATTTTATGGATCAACTCAAAAAATCCTGCTGCAAAGGTCCTTGTTTTTAGCAGTTGGAATGATGTCCTTGATGTCTTGGAACATGCATTTGCCGCGAATGGTATTAGCCACATACGAATGAAAGGGGGAAGGTAAAATACCCGTGTCATGCTCCGTACCTGTGAGAGAGTACCTTAGTGCAAAAGCAAGGGTAAAGTGGTCTTTAAGTTGTAAAAAATGGGCAAGTAGTCTTTCCATTTAAAGAAGGGGAAAGAAAGACACAAAACAATCTGAAAAGAAAAAAATAAGAAACTTGTAGGAGGGAGGGAGTCACATAATAGTGATGATACCCTTCACAGAAATCCAAATACAATGGCAATGAGCCAACAATACATTACCTAATGTTCCTATTTTTATTAATGCAGGGGAGCACATGCAGCCATAAACTATTTCAGAGGGCACAACAGCAATGCCCTAGGCATGCCACCAGAAACCAAAACGGTTCAGGTTTTATTGCTCTTGATTCAACACGGAGCCAATGGCCTCAACCTTCTAGAAGCAGAGCACGTGATTCTCGTCGAGCCATTACTGAATCCAGCTGCAGAAGCACAAGCAATCAGCAGGGTGCATCGCATCGGGCAGACCAAAAAGACCCTTGTCCATCGTTTTATAGTACGTATCATCCCCCTCAATGTGTGTGTTGTTAAGTGGTATTGCTGTCTTTTACTATCTGCGGAGTGTAATACTCTCCTTCTGCCTCAAAAAGAATTTTTTGGGTCAAATCTTGACTATTTTGTTTTTTTTTCATATTACTCAGTTGATAAACCAATACTCCTTCAGTCTCACTATTTTGTCCCTTTTTTTCTTTTTGTGTGTCCTACTATCTTTTCCACATACTCGGTACTATATTTGGTCATGTTTGTGTGGCTCACATTCGTTCTTACTTTATCTTACTTTTTAGCATGAATATCAACTAGAGAATCTTACTTTTCTTAATTTTTTGTCACTCCTTAATGTCCAACTATTTAAACTAGTGGGACAGATGGAGTGAAGTCTTTCCACCGCTTGTTTTGTTTTGTTGAACTTTTGATGTAGTTTTAAAATTTATTACGGAGTAGTATATATTATGTTTTTTTAATTTGACATCAATTTTGATATAAAGTTTGAGATCTATTCCAGTCAAGCAACCTGTAACAGAAGTTTTTCTGGGACGGAAGGAGTATTTTCTAATAAAAAAAATTTCTGGGACGGATGGAGTATTACCTAAGACGCCCCCTCGTCTCACAATGAATTTACAAAGTCCTTTCTAAGACAAGAAAATGTGGCTCATGACATTTTTTTTCTTCTTTCTAAATAAATTTTAATCATATATTTTTCACTTTTCAACACTTTAATTCTGTCCAAGTCAAAATGTGGACTTCATTTCATAGCAGGGAGTATATAAGTGAGATGAACTTAGTTTAGAGACACATTGTAAAGATTAAAGGGTATGTATCATGAATTACAGGTGAAGGACACTGTTGAAGAAAGCATACACAGAGTGAACAAGGGCAGGATGGGAAATTCGCTCGTGAGCGGAAACAGAAAGAATAAAGATCACTCTGCTCTCACACTCAAAGACATTGAGTCTTTGTTGTTCAGAGCTGCCCCGCCATTTGCAGATCCAGACCCGTCTGCTGGGAGTTTGACGCATTTGCCCCCGTCGGTAGCTGCTGCTCTAGCAGCTGAGAAGAGGCTAGCTGCTGCTGCTCAGGATGATTCGTGATCAGCCCAATCAGGAATGACAATGGATCGGGTATGGATCTGGATCCTCATTCGTCCGTTTACTCTCTTTTCATCACTCGATCCATCCATCACCAGGTACATACATCACCTATCACCCAATGTGTCATTCCTCCGCAGGTGAAATGGGTGCTACTTAGGGGAAATGTACAGAATTTTTTTAATTATTTGTAGCATTTCATTAAATTATTATAAATAAAGTAGTAATAATAATAGTAAAACATCTATTTAGTTTGTCCATAATGGTTAAATCTTTGAAAATGTGTGAAAAATGAAATGTGATTAGCGTTTGTTTGGTACACGGAATTGGAATTAAATTGAGAGTTGAAATTCTATGGAATTGAGTTGGATGGAATTGAATTATCCAAGTTCAGTTCATTTTTGGCACTACCAATTCCAAGTCTACATAATATTGTGCCACCAAACAATAGAATTGAAATTGTTGTGTCCAATTCTAATTCTATAATTTGAATTTCGTGTACCAAATAGAGCCTTAATGTTTCTAAGTTAAATGCACGCCTTTCTCTGTCGCAATAAAGTTTGCATTCTATTTTTTTGGGATATTCCAAATTGAAGTTTACACTCATAATTCCAATTAAAGAGAAAGATGTGGCACAAAATTTTTATTTTTAGAATGTTGCAACTTTAAATTATCCCGACCTTGACATTTGTACTTCAAATATGTTTCACCGCCGCACTTGACCCCGTTTTTTAGTTTTCAATTCAATTTATAAAAAATCAAAGACTAACTTATAGTGACAAGAACCAAGTTTAATCTAAGTAGGGTCTACTATAATATAACAAATCAAAATTTAAAATATAAAATTATAATTTACGTAAGAAAGAGATCTACGAAACTAAGATACCACAACATTATTTGCTTTCTAGTCTAACGTGTTTAAACCCTAGTTTTGAATCGGGTTAAACCAATCTTAATCACACATTTTCTAATCTCACCCGATCGTATGAATTTCAATAGAAATATGGACAAATTTATTTAATAATGAAACGTTTTTTTTTTTGCTCAACCTCTTATTGTTAGCTATTTTTGATAAATTTTTAGAGTTATGCTTTGGAACTCCAATTTTGACCCCATTTTTTCTTCCTAATATTGACTCCACTTTTAGATATAGAATCAAATTCTATGGAATTATCCGAATTAATTTGGATGAAATTTAATTCTTCAATTTCAAATCATTTTTTACACTATCAATTTCAAATTATTACCCTAAAATGATTTAATGATGTGTTTCTTTGACATGTTTATAAGTCAAAAAATAAATCGATCTTATCTATTTTTATAGAGTTAAGTGCACAGTTTACCCCTGTACTCTTTAGAAATTGCATGTTTTACCCCTGAACTTTAAAAAGTGCATCGATTACCCTTGAACTCTTCGAAAATTGCACGATTTACCCCTGCAGACTAAAAATGCACCAAATACCCTTGAACAAATTAAAACGTTGCATCGTTGGTCGTAAACTATTAGATAGAGAGGGCGTTGCTTCCACGCACAAGAATTGTGAATATCATTCATCTGACCCTTGTGAATTTTCCAAAATATCTTTACCCAAAATTGTCATCTTTATTTAAATGTTCAGGAGTAAACCTTACAATTTTCGAAGAGTTCAGGGGTATTTAGTGCAATTTTTATTGTTCAGGGGTAAAACGTGCAATTTCTGAAGAATTCAGGGGTATTTGGTGCACTTTTTAATGTTCGGGAGTAAACCATGCAATTTTCAAAGAATTTGGGGGTAAACGGTGCACTTAACTCTATTTTTATAACAACAGGCAAATAATAATGTTGAGTTAAATCAATATTTAACGCATAAAAACAATAAATCAATAGGCAGGGACCGAAATGAAAACATGCCGATTGCGTCATCGCTTGCGTGACCGACATAACCGCACATGCTAGAGAACACAACATGTTGTGCAGACTCGTGGCGTCTTTGATACAGCCACGTGGCACGCGCTGCTGCGTCGTGTTTGGATTCTTTGCTTCCACGTGGCAGCAGATATCCGCCTTCATATACGCTGAAACCCTCGCCTCCTTTCTTCTCCACCCCAACCTGCGAAATCTCTCCGACAACATTTTAAAAAAAAAAATATACCCGCGAAATCTCTCCGGCCAATACAAAACATCCACCCGATGCAGGCTGCGTGCGCCCCACGCGCTTTCCCCTCACTCGCTCCGGCATCCAAACCCGGGGCTCCGCCTCCGAATCGCCGCGGCGGCAGGGGGCGGATCCTGAAGTCCGCGGTGAAGTGCGGCGGAACGGGGGCGGAATCGGAGAGGAAGCTGGAGGAAGAAGTGGCGGGAATGGGAATACTGAAGGGGGACTGCGAGGACGGGAAGGGCGGCGGGGTGGCGGAGGCGTTGGAGTGTCTGGAGAAAGAGGCGATAATGGGGGAGGACGAAGGACGGAAGCCGTCGGACTACAACCGGAGGGCTCAGATATTCGACACGAGTTCTAGAATCTTCCAGGCTCTCAAAAACGGCGCCGCCGTTCCAGAGGATGATGATCCTCCTTCTCCAGATCAGCAAGAGTTGAAAGGAATAACCAACTTGGAACAAATGTTCTCAAAGCACATGCCCATCATATAGTTACACTGTACTAATTTAAACTTTGGACTTTTTTTTTTCTTCAAAATTTGAACTACACAGTAACATAGATCGATAAATTTTTTCTTTCTTTCTTTCTTTCTTTTTTTAGCGATAATAATATGTGTAGTGTAAAACCAACAAAATTTGTCTTAACGAATAACTAATGTTTTTGATTATTTATCCATTTTCAACTTTTGACATATAATTAATAAATAAAATATATATATTATATTTTAATTAGATAAGAAAATATTTTAAAAATATTTCATATAATACATTTAATAAAACTATCTTTCGTATCAATATCTAACGTCTTTTTTATTTAATTTTAGGTTAAATTTTATCAATTTTGATCGAAAAAGTCAAGAGTGGACAAGTGCTTAGGGATGGAGGGTATGTTACATAGATAGCGGAATACTATGGGTAGTATATTTGTGGTTTTTATTATATTCAGAAATGCTCTCAATACGGAGTAATTAATAATATAACTTGATTTCACAAAATTCAAGAGAATTGAAAAATAAAATATATGCCGTTAGAAACTTTTTTAAAAAAGAAAAATATGATGAACTGAGTTTTTCCAAAAAAAAAAAGAGGTGGAACACCCATCCCGACACATACACACCTCAACTTTGACGAAGTCGTCCTGTGTTTGCTGCGCACAAGTAGCTAATACAAAGAATAGAAGTCTCACACTGCCGAAATTTGATCCTGAGATCAATGAGCTTAACATCACCAGATTTTGAGTTATTTAATTATTTAATCTCCTTAGATTAGTTGAACTACTCATGCAAGCACTAGGAGCTTGTCTTAATAGAACAAGGGAAGGTAAAGTATAAGACTAATGAACTAAATCGTACGATTGACATTTATAAAAGAGAGCCCTAATTCTTACAACAAAAAATATTATGGAGAACAATAGTTCTTACAACAATACAATTGGAGTACCTACGATACTCTGTTCGTAAAATTAATTATCCCCACCCCCGTTATCCCCTCGGTAAACCCCCTAGCTCATCATATCCCCAAAGAACCCTGCACCCCTCCAATTGGAGCTCTTTTTATTTTATTGGCTTTATTGTCAATTTTTTAACAAAAATAAAATGTGGTGCAATTGGAAAGCGTGCGGGGCATTGGAGACAGGTCGGGTTAAGGAGTTTACCGGAACGGGGGAGGAGGGGGATTACAAGGAAAATTAATTTTACGAACGAAGCATCATAGATACTTCCATGAGAGTGTTGTGTAAACCTTGTAAATTTTTTTGTTGTAACTCTAAGAGTACTCCTCTTAATAAAAAAGGAGAAATCTAAATGTGAAACCTTACTTTACATAATAAGGAGTGTTTGAAGAAAAGTTTGGCTTTTGCCTTCAAAAATTTAAAAATAAATTTTAGCTTAATTCCATTTCTATTTTCTATTACCAAAGAGTGTTTATCGCAATGGTTAAAACTTAAAAGTGGCACTTTGAACTAAGGTAAAAAATCTCATCACACAGGGTTGGAATTGTGAGAACTATATATTATATTGTCTCACAACTTTGTTAATTACATTACTTTCAATCATCTTCTAATGGTACAACTTAATTTCAAATGCTAAAGTTAAAAGAGGAGCCTTGGCTTACATCTGGTTAAAAAACGATACAACTTACTTTTAAGTGTTAAATAATTTTAATTGTAAATGATACTTCGTACAAATTAACTTTAAATGTTAAATTTCGTTAACTTTAAATCTCACAAGTGTGGAAATGTTCTCACACTTGCGAGCTAACATGGAATCACAAATCAATTTTAAATGTTAAAGTTATAAACGAGGCTCACATTTGATTAAAAAACGATACAAATTAATTTTAAATGTTAATTATACAAATGAATTTTAAATGTAAAATTTCAATAATTTTAAATTTAATAAATGTAAAAACGTTGTTCCCAAACGAGGCTCACATCTGGGTAGCAGGAGGGCTCTGCTCCCTGCTTCTCTGTTTCCGGCCCTTATCCGGGCCGCCAAGAATGCCCCATCTCTCAAACTGCCTCTGCCGAGCTCGAGCCCTATCCTTTTCCTCCTCAGATTTCGTCGAAAAACAGTAGGGACAAGAGACCCCAAACTCCCACTCTGGTGATTCCATGTCAGCATCGCTCACGGGTTCTTTGCACCCGTAGCAGAGCTTGAAAGTGCCTTGCGACAACCCGTGTTCGACCGAGACCCGTTTGTCGAACACAAAGCATTCCCCTTCCCAGAGACTAACGCCCTCTGGGACTTCCTCAAGGTACTTCAAAATCCCACCTTCCAAGTGATAGACCTGGTTCACAACCAAAAAGCACTCAACAAATTCAATAAATCTAGTCCCACAGACAATAACAGACTAAAGCTCGAGGTTGTAGTTGGGGTTACCCTAGCACGGTTTCAGCAAATTAGTACGAAATCTTTAGGATCAACTTCTGGGACATAAAGCATATGAGCTTTCTTGGGTTCCCAATTGGGACATAAGTGTTCTATATATGGTCCTTGAATAAACTAATATGCTAGTCTGGTTACCTCTTCAAACCCGCTTCTTAGGAGAAAACTTGAAGCTTTCTCGCAGCGAATTCCACCTGTACAGTACATTGCCACCTTGGGAAGTGGCTTCTTTTCCCTTTCCACAAGTGGTGTTTCTGACAATTCAATTGAGCCAATGGAACACGTCTGGTCTTCGGATCCTCCAAGTTCAAAGTGATTGTCAACCCAGGAGGGGAAATCCCGAAAAGCAGAGGTTCGTGGATCTACCGCGCCTTTGAACTTGCCAATTCTAGTTTCATAGTCATTCCGCACATCAATAACAACCTAACAAGTCATAATGCAAGGCAATTCAGTCCAGACTTAAAGGCCAAGATCAGAAAAAAATGGCATTGAATAATTCAAGAATCTTAAAATTTAAAATAGGGTTAAATATGTTTTTGGTCCTGATAAAATTTGCGATTCCATCTAATTCTTTTTAACATTAAAGCATCCCAGCATTTTTTTGCAAATAGCTCTCCCGCAGATCTCAAGCTAAAATTTAGTTTGTTTGTCCCTATAAAATTAGTAAAATTTGTTCTTGGTGCCTCTTAAAAAACAGAATTTGCTAATTTTATATACACTAAAAACATATTTTATCCTAACACATTAGACCAAGATTGGGGGGAGGACCATTTACAAAAATTGCTTTTCTACTTTGACAAAAAATGGTCTATCCTGAAAAAACTTGTGCATTGCAGTGGCTTGCAGGATTTCAAATCGGCTTTTAGATAAAACTGAAAATCTCTTGGGATTGTGTAAGGAGGAAAATGGTTTTTTTCCAGTGCAAAAGCAATCCAAATTGGCTCTAAGACAATTAACTGATTACATCAAGGTTTAGGGTGGGGGTACACAGACCTTACCCATACAAGAGGAAAAAAGGCATGGTATTTTGTAATAAACTTAAGGACATCTCTTTGAAGACAACATTGAAGAGTTGAGAAGAAAAGAATCAATCTTTGGCTGGGGCAAGGGTTTCTTTGAAGCTCTTTTGTTGTAGTTTATTCATTTCAATCTAATAAATTCACATTATTTCTTGGGCTTCTTTACTCTATGAGAATTGCAATGCTATGTACCATTTATGCAAGAAATCCAAAGATTGATCTGCCATATTACATGCAACAATTTAGGAATGAACAAACCCAAGAATGCTACAAATTCAAACTCTTAAAGAAACTCACGACATCCGGGTCACTTATCAATGCATTCCAATCCCTTGGCTTAACATACTTGCCAACTCTTTCAATTGGTGAAACAGATGGCATCCCAAGTGTGACTATCTGCCATAAAAGTAATAAAAATATATCATTGAATACCAGCATGAACAACAAGTCAACAACATCAATAACAAACCCAGTAAAATACCAGAAAAGTGGGGTTTCAGAAGGGTGTGTGACTGTGTAGTGTGTACACAAACCTTACTCCTACTATGAAGTAGAGAGCCTATTACTCAGATACAGAAGTGAAGTACAGACAAGGAAATCAACGAAGCACGAACAGAAACAAAAGAAACATACAAACCGACTCTAAGAACTAGACATAAAACACAAAGCATACAGGCACAAGCTACACACTAAGGCATAAAAATGCACCATCATAAACTACAAACTAAGGCCCACAGGTCTATCCAAATACGCTAATCCTAGATCTCCATGCATTTTTATCTTAAGTCATATCTTCAATAATATCCTGAGCTCGTAAGTCATGTTTAATCACCTCCTTCCAACTCTTTTTATGTCTCCCTCTATCCCTCGTCACGCCTTCTACCATACACTTCTTGTGCTTGAAAAGATAATACTATGTTTTTTTAATTTTAATGCAGTGTTCATGATTACCTCTTTTTTAAGCTTAACCCTAACGTGATCCCATCGAAACGGAGCATCCTCACCCGCTGCAAGAGGGGACCTGCTTGTATGTCCATGATGAATAGCCTCTTCCTCAGGACTCACTGGAGACTCCACCCGTCTCAGTCCCTTGAGGCGTTTATCACGTTGAATGAAAGCAAGAACCTCTTCCACAGATTCCCTTGTGCCACATATGCTTCCATTTATTCCTTCTGGTGCAAGAATAATACCACCTGACACACGCTGGATATGATCAGCTTGGTAAGGTACAATTGACATGGAAAGTTGAAAATCTTCTGAAAAAAAACTATCAGTCTCCAAAAAAATCCACAAATGCATATAGTCATGGGTCAATAACTACGGAAAATGATGAGGCATATGATTTACTGAAGTCTCAAAGGTTCTTTTTTGGCAGCCAGTTCTTGTTTATTCTGCCAACAAGTAGCTTTTGACACTCATTTAGCTCAATCACCAGACACTTTTCTTTTAAAAAAAATCATGAAATTCATCACTCTCATTCAACTAACATTTTCCGGCTGGATCAATGGACCCTAAGATACTAGTTTTTTTGTTATCTCTTTTATGTAGGACTGTAACTATGACAGAAAAGGTTTCCAAAAAGAACTTCCCGTAACCGTTTTCACTCCCATAGATTGGCTAACAATTGCATCAGTATCTTAATCTATGAATAATGACTTAGGCCTTGTTCGGGAGCACGGTTTTCAATTAGTGTTAGCGGTTTGCATAATTTGTTAATGGTTTTGATTAACTTTGAAAACTCTGTCATTAGATAGCTTTTTTCAGAAAAGCTAAAGGTTGAATCTATTGCCAAACATGCACTTACGGGCATTAAAGAAGACCTTCTTTTTCTTTTTTCAATTTAAGCAAAGCATTGTCTTTATCTATGAATAATACATTAAAACTCAGCAAGTTACATATATTAAAGAAAATGCATCGATTCTGTGAAATTATGCAAAACATTGTTTTACCTTTGGCTCAAGTTCAGCAAAGAAAGCTTTCAATTTTACCAAATCAAGCAAAAACCTAACAAAAAAAAATGTAAAGTTGGCTACCAAAATTTTACATACATGCATTTCTGAAGTTAAAAAGAAGCATACCAGTTGCTCGCAGAGCTCCTTCAATGGTTTCTTAAGCTCAGCATGGTCGGGAAAATCTGCGAACTTATAGAAAGAAACAACTACCAGATTAGGATCCGTTCCAGATTCCACCGCCTCACCTCTCGATTCCGCCGCCGTCGGAAAGGATCTCGCAGCGGTTTTTGAAGAGAAGACTTTGGATATGGCCGCATTATGAGTCGGGCACGAGAGAGATATATTTGAATTTGAAAAGAAAGGGGATGTTTTCGCCGCCGCTGGCGGCGGCTCCGAGGGGGGTTTCATGCCGGGACCGTGGAGGCAGTGGCGGATAGGGTTAGGGATCGGCATCCTCGCCGCCAGCAATGACGCCGTTCTTCGTAAAGAAGGGAGAACCGATTGCATTGAGACTTCCAACCTCATCCACTTGACCACTTTCAGGTCCATCCTTGAAAAAAACTTTACAATTTGAAGGAGAAAAAAAATAAAATGAAAAGAGAAAAAAAAAAGAAAAGAAAACAAGAACACAAATATTACTAAAAAGATGAAAAAACAAAATTCTTTTATTTTAATGAAGAAAATGAGAGGAACTCGTTTACTTTTCTTTTTTTTCCAAATTCTTCGAACCAAACATAGTGTTAGAGAAAAACAGTTCAGTTAATACTGGTTCGGTTGACATTCAATATCATGGCACTATAAAAGGGGTTTCGGTCCCGGTTTAGCTTTCTAACTGGTTTCGAAAAAATTATTTTTGATAATTTTTTTGGTAAAAAGGAGCAATATAATTGACTTCAAACTTTTTTCTTTTGTACTCCCTCCGTCCCAAAAAGTTTTCCCTGTTTCATTTTTTGCGCATCTCATAAAACATTTCTACAGACATCTAAAATGCCTAAAATTTACAACATTTCTTCTTTATTGTGGGTAGAAGTTATTTTGAAAGTCTTTTTAGCATTCAAGGCGGGATAGAAGTGTTTTGTGGGATGCGCAAAAAATGAAACGGGAAAGACTTTTTGGGACGGAGGGAGTAGTAAATATTGTGAACAAATCTCAAATAAATTTAAAATAAATATAAAAATATAAAAAACATTAAAACAGTTTCGGTTCAAAGCACTTTCGGTTCCAATCTGAACTTGAACATTTCCTCGCAGTTTCGGGCTATCCTAGTATCGGTTCTGGTACCTATTCTGATTCCAGTTCCAGAATTGTGTCTAGCCCTAGACACTCGGTTTTGTCGATTGGCCAATTGACAATCCGGATGCATGGACCAATAAATAAAAGCTACGAATCATATTGAACTCCAAAATTAACTAAAATGCTAAATTCCACAGTTGGTCCCTCAAGTTTTTGCGTCATACACGGTTAGTCCTTCAACTTTATAAAGTCCACGAATTAAATAGTCCTTCAAGTCACGTTAACGTTGCACGATTGGTCCTTCCGTTAAGTTTTTCGTTAGTCCATATATTTTGTCCATTTTTCATTACAAATACACGTGAGGAACACTTTCTTCTTCATACAATTGAGTCATATTTCATGTAGACCCGTTGAAATTGAAATGTTAGATAACAAATTAACCCCGATTGACTGCAAACAGTCAAAACTTGATACAGTGGCGGATCCACTTACAATAAGTAGAGGGCAAATGCCCCCAACTAATTTTTTGTGATAAGGTTAAAAATATTTTTTTAATTAGGTCAAATTTAAATTTTTTGTTTAATTTTTTTAGTAAAGAGTATTATATTGTATAAAATTAATTGTTTTTAAAATAAAATTTCACCTTACATATTAAAAAATATTTTACATTTAATAAATATTTGAAATAAGACTTATTATTTTTTGTCATTTCAAATAGTCTATCAAAAAAATTCAGCGACGCTGTCCTCGGACTCTCGATCAGTGCTGCCCCCATCTACTTCTATTCCTGGATCCGCCACTGACTTGATAAATGCTTTAAAACAGAGTGTCTATCTTTTAAAAAAATGGACTAATAAAAGCAAGAATGATGTATTATTATTAAAACAATGGACTAATAAAAATAAGAATAACTTCTTATTATTAAAAAATGGATTTATATTAAATAATGTTCAATTGTATGAATAAGAGAGGGTTCCCCACATATATTTATAATGGAAAATCGAAAAAATGCATGAACTAATGGGAAAATTAATGGAAGGACCAACTGCGCATCGCTAATGTGACTTGAAGGACCATTCATGGACTTTATAAAGTTGAAGGACTAACCATGCATAACGCAAAAACTTGAAGGACCAACGGTGGAATTTAGCCTAACTAAAATTAAAGGGTGTGCAGGATTGATTTGGGTCTTGCCAAAGTTGAAGTTTGCCGGGGATAAGATTCGTCAATTTACTGAACAGGACACTATAGGGTCCCTATCTAGGATGACCCTTGATATAACAAAGAACACGCATGACATCATTTATGTGATCAAGAGTGGGTGCCTTCATAAACCGAGATAAGACATGAACAACATAACAGATTTCTGGGTGGGTGATGGTCAAATAAATGAGGCGGCCCACTCGGCAACGAAATCGAGCGGGATCATGGAGTAGGGATGCGGTCAACATCCCAAACCGTGATTGGTTGGTAGTGGGGTGGCGGCCGGTTTACATCCCAACAACCCAGCCTACTGTAAAATATCCAACGCATACTTGCGCGGGCATAATACCATTCCAGAAGAAGAACAAGCACATTCAATGCCTAGAAAATATTTCACCAGGCCCAAAACCTTCAGTTTGAAACACTGATCTAATTAGCCTAATATGATCTGATTTTTCAAAGATAATCTAATCTAATCTGATCATGATAAAAATAAGTAATAAGTAGAAAAAATAAGATGAACCAAACCCGCTAGTTGAGTAACAAGGAAAAGGTCTAAGGGGTAAATGTGATGGGGAAAATGAATATTTAGTCTCCTAACCCTTTTGTTTTTTCAAAAGACGACTTAAACCCCACGGCGTAATTTACTTTGTAATACGGAGTGATTTATGGGGATTTGCCCCCCTTTTTTGTCGTCTTGTGATGGCGTTTCCCCATTAAAGCTTAAGCTTGAATTCCCNGTCGGTAAACCTCCTCCGCGTCTGCCGGGAAAGAGTGGTCTCCGACCTCCTCAAAGGCAGAGAAATGGCCACGAGGCTCCAAACCCTCCTCCAACGCAGCCCCGGCACCGCCTCCGAAGACCTCAGCGGATCATCGCCGTCCGTTCATAGCAAACTCTCTCTTGAGATCTTAGGGTCTTTCTCCGACGCCATCTCCCAGCTCAACAACTGTTGCGCTGTCCCGCCCCCGCCCGGCCAGCGGGGGATCTTATTATCTAACGACTCCGACCACGGTCAGAAGTTTTGGTCGGACGAGCCTGCCCGGAAGCGGGTGCAGGAAAACGGGGTGTCGCCCCCGGGCAGGACTGGTAGAGGTGGTTACAAAAGAAGGTATATATAGTACTATCATTTTTTGTGTGTAGGTGTGTGTCTGTGTGTGTTTAGGATGAATCACTCCGCGCGAATTATAAGTTTGGGAACAACTTTTGCAATTATATATCGTTAGAGTTCAGAATTAGTGTTTCTCATGATGTCGATTAACATCACTTTGATCTGGCAATTTTAGCGTTTAGTTTTAGCGTTTTAAAAGTAGTGAATATGTACCACTAATTTAAAATTATCTAAAACTTTAACAAAAAAAACATTATTCCCAGTGGCTAATGGAGTCTAACAATAAACAGATACGGAGTACTATAGGCCTACAAGGCATTTTAGGGTTATATATGTTCATATTTTGAATACTATTTATCCATTTTCCTTATTACCTAGATGTCTCCAAAAAATAAAAAATCTACTTTTTCATTTAATATAAAAACAACATATATCGTACAAATTTCTATATTTCCCAAACAAATTCAAACAATAAAGTCTGTTGTGGGACGAAAGAATATAAGCTAAGGTTCTAGCTCTTGTTTTAATATATATGCAGAAAAAACAGTGGAGAAGAGACCCGGACAAATGTGTGTAAAACAATGGAAGATGGATATGCATGGAGAAAATATGGCCAGAAACACATCCATAATTCACTACATCCTAGGTATACATACATACATACATACATACATACATACATACATACATACATACATACATACATACATACATACATACATACATACATATATATATATATATATATATATATATATATATATATATATATATATATATGCTACACCTAACTGCATCCATAAATATTACAGTACATTCATTTATCCAGTTTTGATTTTTTAGAGTGAATCGAAATCTAACTTTGACCTAAATTTTAATTTTGAAAACATTTTACAAGTTAATCTAATAAAATTATTTAATCTATATCAATATCTAAAAAAAGTTACTCCAATATTTAACTAATGCTTAAAGTTTATCAACTTTGAAAAAAAGTATATATAATCAAAACTGAACAAATACTCAGTGAGGGAAGTAGTAGTACACTTTTTTTTATTTTAAAAATATTAATTATTCTAACACTATGAAAATACTTATTTAGCATATATGAAGGTTCATCATTGACATTAGATCCATGTAGTTTGCCTACAAGGAGAGTACATTTTGTTTTTTACCAAAAAAATTCCATCACTTATTAGATATCAAAAGGCAAACAATATCTGGTAGGATTAGGTAAAATAAATTGTATGTAATACTCCCTCCGTTCTCAAAAACACTTCCTCTTTCATTTTTTCTACTTCCAACAAAACACTTCCCCATTCTATTAAAAAACCACTTTTACCCTTACTTTTTCATACCCTACCTATCACATCATACTTTTTTCTCTAATAACACATCAATCACATCTTACTTTTATTCATCACATCAGGGGCAAAATTGGAAATCAACTATAATTTAACACTTCCTTATTTTTGCCCCAAATCAGAATGGGAAGTCTTTTTGCAAACGGAGGGAGTAGATTTTATAAATACTTGAAAAGAAAATGAGAGTAGTGTTTTAATTAGTAAAAGATTAATTAAATTGATAGTTTTTAAAACAATTGATCTATAATGTGAAGTGCAAGTTTAGACCTTTTGTGTGGCACTGGCTGTTAATCACGACTAATTACGGAGTAATTATTTCTCTTTTTTGGTAACGGTCCACATGGGATAGATATTACAATTCTTCCTCCTCATCTTTTATTCTTTTCTCCTCATTTTTTAAAAAATAATTTTACAACATTTCTTTAATATTTTTTTCTTATTCTTTGTAAATGTAAAGTCAAAGTAATGAGAAAACAAATTATTTCCCGCAATCTCAATTTTCTATTTTAACTAAGATATATTTCTAAGGTCTGGTTTGGGAACAACATTTAATATTAACGTTAGCATTTTTTATAAAATTTTAACGCTGTAAATTAATTCTGAAAATGCTAAAGACAGTCGTCAGATACTTTTTTGAAAACGTTAACGCTAATTTCTAATGCTAATGCTAAAAGAAACCTAAGTCAACAAATAACAAAAATTAGAACCCCCACAAACACGAATTTTTGTTGAAGTTATTGCAGATTTTAGGTAAATTTTTGTCCAAATTTATGGGTGGATCATATGTGGCCCACAATTTCTGGGTCGAATTGAATTTTATGCCCATATCCGCCCATAATTTCATGGCCCTAAAACTTTCTATTACTTCCTAAATAAACTTTCCCTTCATTTTTTTTTTGTTCTTAAATAAACTTCTTTTTTTCTTTTAAAAAACTACTTTTACCCCTTACTTTTTCATACCATACTTATCACATCACACCTTTTTACTGATAATCTACATATCACATCTTAGTTTTACACATCACATCAAGGATATTTTTGGAAAGTCAACACAAAATATCCCTCCCTTAAATCCTCAAAAAGTCAAAAAGGGAAATTTATTTAGGGACAGAAGGAGTATCTAATTGAAAACACTTTTAGTTGTAATATACTCGACCTTCCTCTTTTTTCAAAGAAAACTACGGAGTAATATATGATTGTTACAACTTACACGATGTATTATTACTCTATCTATTGAAAATTAAGTTGTCTATTTATTATTCACATCACCTTTTTCTTATTTTTATTACTCATTTGATAAAATAATATAGTACTGTCACATCTTGTTTCGTAGGACTTTTGGCGTATGTTTTTAATAAGTAAAGTTCATTTTTTAACTCTCCTTCAATTCTCTAATAAATTATATTGAAAAATAACATCAGTCAAACATCGTAAACCAAAACAGGTGATTTAAGTTGGAACAAAGAGAGTGTATGATTGTTACATGTACTACACAATAGATCGAATTAATGTTGCTTCAAATAAAAATGTGCATGTCTAAAAAAGTTTGTTCAGTTTGACTTCAAAGAGTCAATTTAAATAAATACACTGGGACGGAGGTAGTATTACGTTTTTCCAATAATATAACTGGAATAAATAAATTGGTGATCAGGTGCTACTATAGGTGCACCCAGAAGGGGAGAGAAGGGTGCAAAGCAACAAAGCAGGTTCAAAGAATCTCCCAAGATGAGTTCCAAACCACATACTTTGGTCACCACACTTGCACCCATCCACACAATCCCTTCAATAAAAATCACCACCACCAACAAGAACATGGAGGGGATCTTGATGATGATTCCTGTTCTTCTTGTTTTTATTATTGTAACGACGATCTTCGGTACAACCGAAACGCGGCGGAGGCGGAGGAGGAGGAGTCACCGCTAGCGGCGGCGGCGGCGGCGGCGGCGACATACCATCCGCACCAAGATACGAGCGGTGTTTTTGATGATGATGTTGATTATGAGAGGTGCTTTGAGAATCTGGACAACCTCTTCCGGTCGGAGGAGATGCCACTTGCCTTTTTGGACAATAAAGACTTAGAAGAATTTACTTAAATAGCACTAAAACATAATGACTTTTCCTAAATAACACTACATATGTTTTTTTTCTCAATGTAGTACTTTTAGTCATTATCCATTAGTCATTATTCAAGTAAATATTTGTCATCACTGGTCATTATGGACATTATAAAGTGCTATTTAGGGAAGAAAACTATCTAAGTGCTATTTAGATAAATGACTTAAGTTTTAGTGCTATTTAGTGTAAAGATTTAATCATGCACTAATCATTAATTTGCCATGCATAATACCGTCTTCACTAGTTCTTAAAGAGAATTAATTGGAATTTAAATTACTCTTTATTTAAATTTGGGATAAATATAGTTACACAAAAGATGTTATTAAGATTGACAGTTGACACCACTACTGGTTGTACGAGAACTAGTCTGGTCGTGTTAGTATTGATGTCAAACTTAATGTTATAGTAGCATTATATTATTGTTAAATTCGGTGGTACTTACCTGCCGCTATTGAAAAAATACTCTCACTATTATGAATTTTTCTCTCGTTTGACATTTTACCATGTCGTCTAAAAAATATTTCTTGATTTGATATGACACCGCATATTAAGTGTTAATGAGAGATGAAAAAATATTGACTTGTCATATTTATGTTTTATTTAAAAGGAAATGTTGTAGATGGATATTGAAGATATGGTGATAAGGTAAATAGTAGAGATTTGATAGATAATTTATTAGTGGAAAGAGAAAGTTTACATTTTTGTCAAATTTTTTCAACCTACAGATAAGGGTGAAGAAAAGAGTAGCATTAAAGTGTAATTCATCACTTTTACTTTTATTTCACAATTGGAATTTTGTTAGCGTGAATGGTGGCAATGTAATAATCTAATGACATTATAGTAGTAGTAGTAGTGTAAATGGTGAGAGTGTGGTACAATTTACTTTATTTTCTCTTCTATAAAAACAATTTTCTTTCCTTTTTGTTCCACTGGCTAGTTTTTTAAGTATATTTTTTGTTAATCATTTGATAAAATAATTGACACAATTAAAACATTTTATCGGAATTTTTTGATGCATTTTAAGATCATTTGATAAAATAATTGACAGAATTCCACTGGCTAGTTTTTTAAATATATTTTTTTAGAACTTTTGATGTATTTGTATAAATATATAATTGACACAATTACAAAATTTTCTCTAAAAATATATTCATATGTCTAAAAATTTGTTCATAAATATTTATCAAATCCAAGCCAGGTATTAAAAATATTTGACGTATAGTTATATTAAGATTAATAAATTATAGAGAGAAATTATATTTATTCTAAATTTGGATTTATGGTTATCATTTTTGGAAAAAGAGTAAAAAAAAGGAAGGTGAAATATTGAAGATGAATGAGAAGGAAATAAAAAAGAAAGTAAATTGTGACATTAGTAACATATACTCCCTCCGTCCCGGAGTATTCGTCCAGTTTTAACTTTTGAAACTGTTCATCTAAGCACTTTGACTCACCAAATTCTCTCAATGTGTAAGCCTAAATATAGTCATGTGTGATCTTGTTTGATTTGTCTTAACATATAGATTATTAGTAATATATAATTTCTATAATTTTTTAATATACAAATTACAAGATAAAATGGATTAAAGAAGTGTATTGGATGGTGTGTAAAAATGAAAGTGGACAAATATTCTGGGATGGAGGTAGTATATAGGTCTGCTATGTTACGTTAAAAATTACCTTATAGTCTTGACACGTGTCCTTTTCATGTTAAAAATTGCTATAATTTTGACACATGTCTTTTTATTAAAAAGTGGAGTCCGAAATTTATACAGAGTATATAAAAGATTGAAATCCGCATAAAAATATTGCAAATGATAAATTTGAATTAGTATGTTTTTGAAAAGGTAAATATCATTTTGGAAAAATGAAAAAAAAGAAAGGGAGAAAATAATTGAAAATGGAATAATAAAAAAGTCAAGTAAATATTCAATTCTTTTGAAATCAAGATTTTTTATTTAATTTATTGACAGGTAAAGTTTTTTTTAAAAAAGAAATCTCTCCTTCCATGTCACATATATATTCCCGGTCAAAAAGTGGCACCTCATCTTCGCAACATGTCGCATCTCAGCTCCGCCAAATATCGTGTTCCTGTAGCTCGGTCTGTTTTTGTTCCTCCTTCATTTGTCAAGGACCTTTTAAAGGTATCTAATAATAATTTTCTTTCCTTTCAAAAAAAATAGATAGATAAATAAATAAATAAACGATATGAATTGGAGAAAATGTAAAAATTGGTGGCATAAAAGGGGATGAAATGAAAAACAAGATTTAAATAAGCACGGTCTGGGTCGGTCAAATACAGGTATCTATAATGGTTTCTTGTAGTTGGTCACTTGGTCTACCAATTTTCCAGCTACAAGAAACCATGATGCACTTAGTCCGCTATGAATTCATTCATTCCTCGTCATCACTGCTATCTATAAGAACAAGTGGTCTTTTGGTCTTCTTCTCCTTCGTAGTAGCTGCATCATCATCTGTCTTTGAGTTCTTCGAAACTCTATCCATGCTTTGTTCATTGGTCTTTGCCTTCTTCGAAGGTCGGTCATCTGCGGTGGTCTGCTCATCATTGCCTTCAGACTCTACGCGCGTGTCAGAGTCGACCCTTCTTGCAATCTCTTCGAGAATTCTAGCTCCATACTTTCCGCTCTTCACCTTCCCAATTATCTTCTCCAACTGCAGAAAAGAAAACAATCCAAAATGATGCGCCTGTGAATGAAGTCTAACATAAAAAAGCAAAAGGCATTTTGTAACTTGCCTGTTCCACTGATTCGAGCTTCTCAGCAGCTAGAAGGCTGATTTGCTGAGTAGACAAAACTGAGTGGGGGAATATTCCACCGTGAAGCGAAGCAAGCTCTCTACGTAGCTCGTCGAGCCTGAACTCCAAACTGGATGATGCAGGCTTCCTCTTAGCACGCTTTATGGCGGCAGTTTTATTTTCCTCTTCACTATAGATCTGAAGCTTCACAGTCCTCTTACCTGGAGCAGTAGGAAATTAGACCATAACCACTAGGAAAACAGACTTACACTATGGGAATAGGAGTGGTTTGTCACAATATAAATGTTTCTATCCCATAGTTCAGATATAAAGGATATAAGAGGTAGCTCTCATGAAAGTAGAGGAACAGTTGGCATTTTCAACTTTAAATCTTAACTATTTGATATAGCTGTTAGAAAAAGCTACAATTGGCAGTTTGGCAGTGGAGAACTTTACCTTGCACAACCAGCTTTGCCAGTGGACCCAGTGCCAGATAAGCATTTGTCGTATAAGCTGTGTGTTGAAACTCTTCTTTCTACATTAAAAGAAAAGAATACTGCGGGATAAAGAAAAGAATTGAAGGTAATCATTCTTATAGCCTAAGTTAAATAAGAGCATATTTATTAACAAATACAAATTATAGTATTGAATAACCGGTTTCAATTAAAGCAACTATATTATAATAATCCAGTAACATGGAATTTCATTTGTAAAGGACAATAGTTCCTTGCCTAGATTATAGTGGGCACCATTCAGCTATTTGGTAAAGCTTCATGCGACTCCCAACTCATGTATTTTATCCAACATAGGCATCAAAAAGTTGAAACGCAAAGTTGATGGCATTTGACGTTATAAAGAGAATTGTATTGACATACTATATATTTGTCATTCTTTACTAGACAATGTTGAGTTAAATTCAAGAAAAAATGAGTTTAATCCGGATTATTTAAGCGAATCTGGTAAAAAAAGTAAAAAGAGAAGCTAAATTAGAAATAGAAGTAATGGCAAGACTCTTTACCAAAACACGTTCAACTATAAGCTGGATGACAAGCTGCTCCACATGGTCTCTCTTTAGGTCCAGACCTGATAAAATCCAACCATCTATAATCAGTACCCAACCAAGACTTATTTGCAAGGGCTAGCAAAACTTAATTAACTTACTGAAAGTATATGTAGTGAGCTAAGTGATACACAGCATTAAAAGAAATTGGTTTGAAAAGGCAACTATTCAGAACTAAATGCGTGTAAATAAAGAAATACCTAGCTGTTTAAGTTTAGCTTTCATCTTGTCAACCAATTGCAACATTGTCACCTTCTGGTCAGTTGCATGTATATCTTGAATCAAAGAGATAATGGCTTTTGTATGGCCTGCAAAAAATTAAAAAACCAAAGCATGTCAGCAGCTAAGAGCATTGCATAACAGTTTGTAAACAAGCAAAATATCATAGCATAGAGTTTCGTTAGGTTGTTTTACAATAAGTTATAAATTGGACAGGGTCGAACTACAATGGGTTAGAAACTGTAGGTGAATACCCTCAAATAATTTTTTCAATTTATGGTGATCACTTAAGTTAGTGTACAATTCCAAATTTTGAACAAATGTAACACAATTTAATTAGTGTGCATATGAGCGTGGGAATAAAAATATACTGACATTTCAGAAAAAATACAGCAGCAGGAAACCCAGTATGATCCCACTCCTGTAAACAGTTTTTTTGTGAGACCCTTGATGCATTGCTACATTTACTTCCCAAAACTTCATAGAAAGTAAAAAGCAATGGATATTTAATGTGTCATTTCGAATTAGTTCATTATTTTCTTGAAGCTAAAACATTGTCAAAGATGACCTTTTTAGCTCCATAACTTTTCAGATTATCATGCATCAATAAATGAGGGCAAAAAATATGTATTTCAAATACAATGCAAGTTAGATCAGCATAACATACAAGAGGCATCAATGTCCTTGACTTTTGTTGAAGAAACACAGTTGTCACACATCCCTGTAGCACAATCATAAAATGGATAGAGGTAATCAGACTATACACTAACACAACTAATACAAGGAGCTTCAAAGACAGCATTTACTGCAATAGCAAAGCCTGTACCATTGCAATCTTGGAGTGGCTCAGCAAAATGTCTGAAAAATGCGGCTCGACGACATTCACTTCTAGACTGAAAAAATATAAATGCTCTTTTAAACATTAAGACACTGCAAAGGAATGGTCAGCAACAGCAAACATCCACAGTAGTTTACTTGGTAAATATTAGCTAGCAGCTACTATCAAAAGTTTGCTCAAAGTTTGATGGAGAGATGGTTGTGCACCGCAATTTCATTGCAGTGTGACTGCATAGTCCACATGCATGGATACGAGAACTTTCTCGATTTTATGGACTTTATTTCTGGGAGTTTGACATCTTATTCTTTTGAGTGGAATATCAAAGGCAATACTGCAACTTTCCATGGGAACTACTGTTCATATTATCCTTTCATTCGTGTGGCCTTTAACTAAAGGAGGCAATGCAAGAAATTACAAAGGTAGGAACAATTTGAATTTCAAAATCACAGAGCCATTACGTGTGTGTTGTAACTGTGCCTTGAGCTTTCCCATGTCAGGACGCAATAATCACCTCTATTTCCAACACCATCATTCTACTTCTTGGACCCTTTGCCTTTGGTTGTCCTGAACAAGAAATGACCTTCTTTCATGTTTTACTTCTTGGAGTGCAAACCCCTTAAATTTCCTTCTCCTTCTACAAGTACCATCCCTTATGATGACAACGGAATATCCGGCAACACCGTCACCTAAGACTTAGGATTGAGCAAGTGACTCATACTTCAATGGAATTTCATTGCTAAGTCTTTTGAGCACTTTAAATCACAAACTAGAGGCCACCACCCTTGAGATGATGCACAATCAAGTTAAATAAGTTTTTTCTTTTCTTTAGGTCTGAGTATGCTTCACTCCATTCATGTATATATCGCCTCCTTTGATTCTATATTCAATAATAAATACAATCAAAATATAATATTCAACACAGCCATAGCTTTCAACCAACACCTTACCACCATAACCACAGAATGGATAAAATCTATATAATGTGACACCTTTGTAAACCCCGTATGTGTTGCATAGAATATATCGCAAATGGAGTTTGAAGGGGGATTCTATCAAAATCTTTGTTGTCATCATGGACACAATCTATTACTTGTTGAATTGACAGCGCAAAAAAGCCACATACTCTGAATCTCGTCTTTTGATTTCATATTTTTCATCCAAACACTAAACACAACATATCTAACTAAAAATACACAAATAAAATGTTAATACCGTAAAAAACAATGTCCTGATGAGGGGTAATCTTACACCATTTTATTGGTGTAAGATTGTTACACCAATTCAATTGGGGTACCTACGATTCTCCGATCGTAAAATTGATTGTTCATACCCCTTCTACCCCCCACCCCCCCGGTAAACCCTCCTAGCCCGCCTCGTTCTCAACCCTGCACCAAATTCTGTTGACTTCTGGGTCAAATTTTAGACCCAAATTTGATGTAATAAAACTGGCAGGGTTGCGGGTGCACGTTGGGGACAGGGCGGGCTAGGGGGTTTGCCGAGGGTTAGGGGGGATAGGAATAATCAATTTTACGATCGGAGCACCGTAGGTGCTCCAATTGAATTGGTGTAACAATGTTACACCAATTGAGTTGGTGTAAGATTACCCTCCTCTAAATCCTCTATCATGATTTAGACACAACAGAATGTAATCATGAAATATTTATTAGAATCTTACCCAACAACCTCCTAAAATAGTAGCTTACTGTAATGTCTTTTATTAGACACCAGAGCAAATGATATTCTATAGATGTATGATAGCATATCGTGTACAAGCATCCAAAGGAAAAAAATCATTATCATAATTAATGAAAAAGTGGTCTTTAATGTATATTCGGAAATCTCTTAAACTAATGAAAGTCATGAACACATCCAATACTAAGAGTCTTTTGTTCATAACTTCCATTACTTTAGGACATTTCTTAATATACAATGGAGACTAATCCATTTGTGATCATGATGTTGATTCTTTTCTTGCGGATACTTGTGCACAACATGATGTCGTACATGCAACAAAATGAGAAACTGTTGGGTAAGATTCTAAAAGTTATTTCATGATTATGTATTTACGTTCTATTGTGACTAAATCAAAATAATATATTGTTTTTACTTTTTTTCACTGTACTTACATTTTACTCCCTTTGTCCCAATTTATTCTTCCTATTTTGAAGAACGTGCAAAAGCCAAAAACTCATCTCTTTTAAAAGGATTTTATTTACAAATTGGTAAAAAATAAAAGTTACAAATTACACCATTTTAAACTACAAAAAAAATTCAACTAAACAAAGCTGACAGGAATATTTTACTTTATCAAATGATAAATTAAAACATGCATACAAACATAAGTTATCGGGAGACTGTAATAGTAACTCTAAAGATTAAGTTGGGACGGAGGGAGTAATTGTGTATGTGTTAGTTAGGAGTGTTGTGTTTGGTTTTTGCATGAATAAAAAAAAGATGAGTTATTGCTTTTCAAATGAAAATCAAAAGGCTGCATTTAGAGTGATATGACTTTCCTGCATTGTCAATTTAACTAGTACATCGGGTCCACGACGAAAATCACGACATAAAAGGCTTTGATAGAGATCGAGCCCCTTTGAGCTCCATTTTTGATGAAATATATGCAACACAAAAATCACATCACAAAAAATTTATCCATTGTATGATTATGATAGTGAGAAAGATGTTAGTTGGCAAGTTTGGTTATGCTAAATGACATATGTTGATAGATAAGTTTTTAAATTATCTAATTATATCTTGTATTTATTGTTGAATACATTGAAAGAGGAGACTATATACATGAGTGGAGAGCAATATACTCAGACACAAAGAAAAGAAGAAGCTTGTTAAAAGACTTCGCAATGAAATTCTGCTCGAGTACGCCAAGGTACATGTTCAATCTTCATTCCAAAAGGGCCACCAATCTAAAAAAATTAAAAGTCTTGGGGTGACAATGTTGTCGGATATTTTGTTGTCATCGTAGCACATGGTACTTGTATAAGGAAATTTAGGTGACTTGCACTTCAAGAAGCAAAGCTGAAAAGAAGGTTCTTTTTTGTTCAAGATAGCTGATAGCAAAGGGTTCAAGAAGTGTAATGATGGTGTTGGGGACACAAGTGACGATAGTGACATGGCATGAGAAAAAAGCAAGTGCCCCAAGCTTACAACACGCGTATAACCGCTCGTTTGAATTCTAATTGTTGACTATTTGTAATTTCTTGTATTGTCTCTTTCAATTAAGGTCACACAAGCAACTAGGGTGCTTGTGAAGGGTATATTGGAACCAGTCCAAACGCATATTTATAAATAGGCCAAATATACCCAGCCCAACTATTAGATACATGGCCCAACAATCCTACCCAAATTAGGGTGGTGCTTGGGGTCTCCCAAGCATTTTTGCCCAAATTATCTGAATCAGAGAGATCCGCGCATTCAGATTAGGTCAAGGGATGGGGGTACTGGAAAAATGAGGTCGTCGTGATCCACAATCAGCTCCTAGAATAGTTGTGCCTATTGTACTATAAATACTCCTCCCTCACCAGCGAAGGAATCAAATATTCTATTCAACACTGTTCTTCAAGCTTTGGCACTAGTCTTTATTTCCGATTCAAAATTTCAATTACTCATTTTATATTCATGCTTCAATCGGAATCCCCTAGAGAATGAAACTCGGTTTCAACTTTCAATATACTATAGCGAATTGTGAGATATGTGTTCATATCATCAATCATCTTTGGAGTTTCATGACACGGGTATTCTTATAGTGCATAACAGACTGTAAACTACTGTGCATGTTATTGCGGGTAAGGAATCCTGAGGATGCAACCTACTAGGCCTCCTATTGGTCCAACTGGACAGATCCCCAAGTGCGGGGGAGTGGGTTTGGATAAGCCCAGGCCAAGGGCCTAGTTAAGATTCCACACAAGTGCCACATGCCAAGCATCACCAGGATTTGAATGAAGCCTGGTCTTCTGCATGACAGAGGAACACCCAAAATATTTAAGACAAGTCTCGATGGTATGTTGCATGTTGTCTTGTATTAACGAGGCCTCATATCACTTGTCTCCTGGACTCGTGGTGCACAGGCATCATGTTCTTGTACGTGTAGTAGTGTTCCCTCTTATATATGAAAAAACATGTTCACAATCCAATAGAAAAATACCTGGCAATATCGTACTATGTCGTATAGATTCTGCAAACCAGCATTCTCATAGAAGACCATTGAACTCTGGGAAAGTAGAGGAATGCAGAAAATAATGCATCAATCACCTAGGTCAGAAGTCACAATCATAGAGCAGATGTCAAGCTCATAAATTGCATGTCTAGAGAAATTAACCTGCCTCGGTACATCAGCAGGTCTATAATAAAGCAGGCATTCTGCAGGAAGCCCATCACGTCCAGCACGACCACTTTCCTGAGGATTAAAGATTGTATTCAACACAACACAACACAAAATGATTTGTAAAAAAATATATCTGCAAATATTAAAAAAAAAGCAACCTGATAATATGTCTCCATAGATTTGCTCAGACTGTGATGAATGACAAACCTGACTACAAGCAATTGCAATATAAAATTATCATAAGCATTGGTGCCAGAATAATTAAAAAGAGTACATGGCAAAAGATTACACACACACACATGCCCTAGTATATTAGATATGGGTTAAATGTCATATTTAGAATGGATCTCCAAGTGACAGAAAACTTGAGAATGAGACAGTTAACCACATAGCGATACAAACAAAACAATAATTTTGGAGTATACACACAAACTACTCTTAGAGATCCCACCCAAAAGTCAACACACAAGAGGGACCAAATGCAAGCCAAATTAAGTAGGATAACAGCTGCCTAGTATGACAACCCCCAATATAAGGGCCACAAGAAGCTGAGCTAACTCAGATGGGTACTAACATAATAACCCACACGCAAAACAATAAAGTTGATTATGAAATGGACCATTGGACATATAGAAAGGGAATGAATAAAACGACAGCAAACACCAAGGTTTTGAAAAATGAAAATTTTGGATTTATTTGGGAAAGTAATGGATAGTTTTCTCATACGCTCATATCAGCAAGCGAAGCAGAGAGAGGGGGGGAGGGGATGAAAAAACAAGCTTGCACATTAGCCCATCAATCTTAACTAGTACATTACTTGTTCCACCCAAACCAGAGATGGCTAGTTTTTAAGAATTAAGATGTTCAAGAAACGCCAACCCTAGAGAACATGGACAGACTTCTTGAACAAGAACTGAGCTCCCAAAGTGCACTAATACACAAACAATGACATGGGCCGTCTAGATTTTCATATAAGGCTAGTAGTCCTGCAAGTTGGCCTTATTCCAACTAAGAGAAAAGAAACTTATTTTCCATGCAGAGATACAAATAAGAAATTTCTACAGACAAACTAAGGAGAAAAGGGTAAAAAATTCAGCAGTGAAGCCAAGAGGGCTGAAAGCAATGATGTAAAGTAGTTGAGTAGATTTTCTTTATAAAAAAAGGTCATTCAACTGACTGTCCAATAAGCTTAGTGGTCATGTGTATGCCTGTCTTTTAACTTTTAAGAGGTTATGTTGATGTAATATTGAAACTAAGAGACAAGGAAATGAATGGACAGGCATGTACTCAAACATAAATGAGGGTAGTGAATTGATCAGAAGTGAGGCGGTACACATGGAATCTAGCTTATAGATTACTATATATGCAACAATTCAAAGAACAATCAATAAGAATGGAGGAATCCATGTCACTGCACATTTCATCAACGAATTCCCATCATAAAACTTCTAAGCATAATTCAGCAGGAAGCACATGTTAGCATCACCGCATACTGACCATCTGGCTTGTTAATTCCCATGCCAAATGCCACCTGAAAGAACACAATCACAACAGAATAAGGCATTATTCAGCAGACATATATGTGTGTTCAGAGTAGCTATGGTAAGCATCTTACAGTGCCAACAATAACCTGTAATTTGCCATTGCTCCATCTACATCATTATGGAAGCACACACAGATTAGAGAAGTAGCAATCTAGCATGTTCCGAATAATCATTTTGGTTACATTTGTTGTGCAATCCTTGTGAATATTTTTACAACGTGAATACTAAAAAACAAGTGAAATGACTACAAATTGAGCTTCCATCCAAAATTTATGCAGCAGTTCAATTTCAAGTGCCTTTCTGCCAACGCTACTGTAGTATTAATACTGGTGGTAGTGGCATGTCCACAGAGTTGAAATAATGACAATGATGATGATGATGATGATGGTGATAATGAATCAGATGATGAGAATAATGATAACAATAATAATTAATAATAATAATAATAACAATAACAATACTAGTAATAATAATAAGGGTTTGTGTTCATAATACTTCTCTGTTTAGGTAGAGGCAATCTTACATTCAGCAGACGCATAATTAATAGATAACATCATATGGCGTTGACCAAACACAAACTGATAACATCGTTTAGTTTTTGCACCATTGTAGATGTTCAACAAAACTAAGACAGAGTGAAACACTCAACAGGCAGAAACCTCAGTAACATCATAAATTACCCTAGTTTGCATGACTAATGCAAGGATAATGAAGATATGATAATGCACATAGATTCAAACTTTACCGCATGTGAACATTTTCACGATCTCTTACATCCATATCAGCATGGTAATAATCAGATTTAATTCCTCTCTCATGTAATTCCTTTGCAATCTATAATTTGTAGAAATAAAACCACAAATTTATCAGTACACACCAATTTCTGGAGGCTGCAAATTATATTTCTCTAGCTTTTTGGGAAATTTAAATGAATAACAAGGTATAATCTGAAGTCCCCTTCATTTCACATGTTCATGCAGAGGGCAGTTTCCTAGAGCTGAAGCAAGCTTTGCAAGAGGGACAACAAGTCCTCTACATCTCTACAACTCCACCACACATGCACAATTACCCAAGAAAACAGGCAGCTACCGTAGCAATTAATCATAAATGATTCAGAAACACCTAATAATCAAGGCACATTAACAGAGAGAGAGAGAGAGAGAGAGAGAGAGAGACCAAGGCTTAATATACTGACCGTGTCTGGAAATGTTTAAGGCTTGAGTTTTACATTTGATAGAATGGAATTCCAGTAACAGACATGAGTATATATAGCCAAACAGACATAGAAACCAATTCAGAAAGAAATAGCAAATGATGATTCAGTGAACTGCCAAACTGACCTGCTCACATTCTTTTCTGGAGAAGCAATAAACTATTCCAGATTCATTGTTCGGATAAGATCCTTTTACAAACTCAGCAATTTCATCGATCGCAGTCTTTCCAATCGATGACTTCTCCCTTACCTGTTTAAAATGTAATATAAAAAACAGCTATCTGGAGTCAGGAACCTAAAATAGATAAATGGATAAATAGAGCAACTGCATGTTTGCTGACCATATAAAATAAATTTGGCCTGTTTACAGTGCTGACAAACTTCACACATTTTGGAATATGCAACATCTCCATCAAATCAAGTTGAACTTTTCTGGTAGCAGTTGCCTGGAAGTAACAAAGGAGGAAGTATGAGATAAGGTCTCAACGCTGCAGGCATTAATGAATAAAATGCTTAGTTCTTCGCTCAAAGCTTATCAATTAAGCAAAACTATAGAATATGGACCAGGGAGCACCGTCAAAGCAATAACAGGAACATTGGGGAACTGAGTCTTCAAAATACCAAGGTTCTTGTAGTCAGGACGGAAATCATGCCCCCACTGACTACAGCAATGTGCCTCCTGCAAAATCAAAACTTCTAAGTGACACACTTAGATTTGATATTTTTTAAAAATTAAAACAAGGAAAAATGAGAAAAGCTGAGTACATATGAATTGTAGGGGTTTTCAGGACGCTTCATTGTGGAAAAATGGTTTACATAGTAACTTTTTTAAGTCAGAATACAAAACATCCTTGTAACACAGATATTCTTAAAGGTCTCATTTGAGTCCAATAGCTGGTATGCTCATGGGAGATAACGGTTAGCATTCCCAAAAGGATGGCTGAAAATGCATCCGGAAAAGCAAACAGAGCAGCATCTTCAAATGGGTGTGTACTCAAATGAGCACATTCTTAACTTCACCTTTGTGGATTGACCATTTCCATGAAGTAGTGACAAAACTGGCTTACTTGCTTTTTGTTTAGAAAAAAACCTATTACAAAACCAAACAAATGTTTGCAATGCATGGTTTTCCAATAAACCATTTCCCTTTTTTATCAGCAAGACCATAGCTACTTTTTGTTAATCTTATTTGCAAATCCATTTTCCTTTTTTTTGGTGGGGGGGACAAGCTGACATGTTTCTTCATTTTCATGTTTTCACAAAATTAGGTAGCAATAGACAAACAGTGTGTTGTCTCCATGCAAGAATATGATCTCAACAGTTGAGCAACCATAACACTCACATCAACTGCTATCAACGAGAGGCGGCCAGCATGGTGGCACTTTTCAATCTTTGACATAAACCTTTTACTCTTTGATATTTTCTCAGGTGTGACATACAATATTTTGAGGTTTCCTTCATTCTTTTCTAGAGCTTTGTAAATGAACTTCTCATCATCCTTGCTGGTAGTTGATGTCAGCATATATGCTGGAATTCCTATAGCAGTTAGACCCATCACCTGAAGATGACATTATAGATTAGGTATCAAGATTTAAGATTTCACTTGGTTCCATTAGGATGCATCATCGACATTGTGACATCACAAGCACCTGATCTTGGATTAGAGATAGCAATGGACTGACCACAAGGGTAACTCCATCACGAAGAACAGCAGGAAGTTGGTAGCAAAGACTTTTGCCACCACCTGCAGCCATAATGACTAAAACATCTCTTCCACTCATGACTGCATTTATTATCTGGCAAAATCAGAAATCCAGAGTTAAATCATGCAACCTGAAAACTTTCAAAATGAAACAAAAACTTTATGATATAATCATAATCATCTGCAATTCCATCATTGAAACAGGCAATGCTAAGGTTTGTCAAATGACACCATGAGACGATCAGTCCAATATGAATGGAACAATGATTAAAGGCCCACACATTGATCACAAAAGATTAAGGATGCCACCACCAAACTGAACAAAGCACATAAGCAGGGTAATTTGCAACTATAGTAATACAAGAATAAAAGATGCTTCAGGACACACAAAAAAAACCTTATTCTTTTAAAGTCATATGTTCCCTTTTCCTTTCTCTAGGTCATATGTTAGTTATCCATGAGATAAGATTTAGTTTCCAGTTTCCATGCACCTTATGTAAGGGCAAACAGCTTTGGATGGTGATACCTGATTATCACCATTTTCACCCAATCAATTTACTATTCAAACACTAGAGATTCTGGAAACCTGGTTTTTTGCACATGTATCATCCACGGCAGCCTCTCTAAAGTCTAACAAGTTGACAGTACAATGAGATGGCTTGCTGCCATGTCAATGACCAAGCTGTTCGTGCCAGTCAATATGTTTAGCACTTCAAGATAACCGATAGCCTTTAATTTCTCAAGGCTCAAGCACACCAATGATCGACTTGCAAAACAAAATGGTGGGAGGCAGAAACTAAGATTGCTCGAGTGGTTTGGATCATCCTTTCCATACATAAGAGGTAACAAAACTACATAAAGTAATATTTAAAAAGAAATTCCGTGTAAACTTTTTGGTTTATTTCATTGTGCTAGAAACTGTCAACCACTAGATTTTAGCATGCATGCTGGCATGTGGATTTGCCTACGAGTCATGATTGGGGTATCCCAAGTTTGACCCCATTTTTGACATCATGCCTTTACAGACATCACAAACATGGAACATCTGTGATGTCTGTAAAGGCATTAGTATCAAAAATGGGGTCAAACTTGTGGAACCCCAAGGTTAATTCTTTGCCTACTGCCAAGGATACGCTTGAATGAATGGGCAGATAAAAAGATCCGAGCATCACATGAATAAATGACACATTTAGAATCACAAGAATTAGCATATAAAGAAAAGTTATGAGGTTACTGACCTCTCGTTGATTTGCACGGTATGAAGATATGCCAAAAATATTAAGCCGAAGATCATCAGCTCTAGAATCCCATTCGAATGACCCTAACCAGTTCTCTGTAGCTGCTGACACACCATCATCATCATAATGGTTTTCTGAAGCTTCAAAGTCTTCAAGAAGGGCCTTTAACTCAGATTTTCTCGCATACAACTTCTCTTGCTGATCAAGAAGAATTTTTATCTGATCTGCAGGTTGGACGAAAATAAACAGAAATTTTCATTCTGAACTCAATACTAAGCAGCTTGTTTGTACTCATGGGTCACAACCCTCACATTCTAGATCACTTCAGTGTTCAGCCTACATGAAGGGAACTATATCTACATTTCCACATTTTGAATGCTTGAATTTCTAATAAATTGTGACAGTCAATCAGTCGTCATGCAATGCTACCACCGTTAATTAATCACTTGGTTCTTAGCAAATAAATATCACATATTCAACCTCTAATTCTTAATTGAGACATTAACTAATAAGCTTCTCTCATCACAAGCATAGCCCCTCATTATAAGTTTATAACAATTCTATATCAAAATCCATACCCCAAAACTGCCCACACAAGGAGAGGATGGTTCAGATATAATAGACTTACTCCTGAATTTGAATATAGGATGTTCCCAATTTGACACCATATTAGAAACAGTTGATTGCTTAACAATCCACTGAGAAGTAGGCACACTTTAGTCAGATAGTTTTCCATATTCCACTCTAATTCAAGCTTACAGTTCTTCGAAAAGTGAACATAACATAACCCCTTAATGCCCTTATAATCCATAATCAACTCTGATGGAGCCAAAGATTCACTATTTTTTTTGCTTTGACTATGATGGAATAAAGCAAAATGGCTCTTTAAACTGTTTGTGCTTCTTCCAATATTGAAGTAGCACTTAGTCAATGCAACTTTCGACGCTCATCATGAGTCATCTAGAAAGAGCCGCTTTATGTTTTTAATATAGGGGTCTGCATACATCCGACGGTAATGTTGTTGTTGTTGTAATCCATAATCATTGGATTTGTAGATGCTCATAAACATTTTCAGACTCCACTACTAGCGCTACTGGACCAATTAAAACAAACATCACAAAAACACAAATTCCACACCACAAACTTCAAAAATGTCAACTTTCTAGCTCCCTCCTCACACCCCGAACCATGACATTCAGTAGCTCTGATAAGAAGCAGTACACCACTTCAAATAGTTTCCCATAAATAAGCAAAATATACAAGAAACCCCATATCGTCAGAATTTTCAACTTTCTTGCTTACGATCAACCAATTTTTTGACATTCATAAACTCAAAGCACCCCACTTAAACCTCGAGTGAATGAAAGTGGAACTGCATTGTGCATATAATACTCCCTACATAGCTCTTAATCTTTTTCCTCTGCTTATAGTAGATGTTTAGCTCCAATAAAGGTAATTAACTACTAGTAATTTCCATGAGAACGCAGCGAAATACAGAATCCAAAAACGAAAAATGAAAAAGAAAAGAAAAGAAAAAAGGTTGATAATTCATAATGAGTGATGAGAGAGGACCTTGGACATCTTGAAGCTCAGCTTCCACATTCAGCAGCTCTTCCAGAAATTCATTTGAACTGCCCATTCCCAATTCGCTCGCTCCAGAATAGTACAGTCCTTCCGTAAGCAATGAATCCCCAGATTTTAGAACCCTAATGATATGTAACGATGGGTTTGGAAGAAGGTTGAATCAAATACAATCAATTACTCCCCCGTCCAATTTTCTTCTCAATCTTCCTTTTTGTTAATTTTCAAATTCCAGCTTATATGGCAAACGAATTATCTCAGAGCAAGTTGGCAAATAACTAAATGGAATGGGACAAGTTGGCACATTTCAATCAATAAAAGACAATCCAGACAGCATGTGGTAAGTGAGTGGAGAAACATCTTGTGCAGTGACAAGTCATTGTTTTTGTCAATTTTTATGATTTTTTAATGCATTTTAATTATTAAAAATTATTTCATTTATCTTTTTGTATATAGATGTACTCTTTTTTTAAAAAAAATTATTTCTTCTAAAAAAAATTGAAGATAGCTCGCGCCTCACACGCTTGGCGTGGAGGGAGGCTGAAGCCACGCGAAGCAAATTGCTGAGGATGCCGATGTGGTGCAGCGAGCGAGGAAATGCCTCGTCGCTGCGCATGCTCTCAGACTTCTTAGATTATTAACATTAACGTTTTTTAAATAATTTGCACTGCTGAAATTTAATTCAAAACGTTAACACTAATCTCGAAAATTATTCTCAAACATGTCCTTGATTGTGATATCCAGCCCGAGCGCCTACCACCAGAGGGGCAGATCCACATTGTATCAATGATGCACTTGCCCCCAACTAATTTTAAAGTAGTTTTAATATTACCTTAATTTTTTGAACATTTTTTATTATGCCCCCATCAAAAAAAACTCCAATGAAAAGAAAGTTTAAGTTGAAAATTAAATATTTATCATTAATTTAAAAGAAATCAAATGTAAAATATTTTAAACAACATGAATGTGAATTGAAAATAAAATTATTACGAGAAAGTAAAATTATATGGGGTATTTATGAGATTTTTATTAATGATTTGAGCGCTTCCTTAATTTTTTGAGTTGAATCTTTTTTATATTTTCATATTGTTTTTTTGAAAAGAAACAAATAAGAGGTTGTCCTCGAACACCGTAGCAATCTTGCCCCCAGTAAATTTTTTTTTAGATCCGCCACTGTACCACCACATAATGCTCCATAGCTGGCCTGCCTGGCCAAGCTTATGTCTGTCAACACACCACACCACCTCAATATCTGTATTAAACCAAGGTCATGTTCTCTTCACCTTATCTGACTGAAATAAATTTTGATCTCATATAAACATAGTCATATCAAAAATTATTTCTGATTAAATATATTTTGGTCTGATCTAATTCTAATCAGATAAGTTATAAGTAAATATATAAGTTGAGATAAACATGGTCTACATCTCGGAACTCCNTAAGTTGACCTCCATTCGACCAGGGTCGGAAGTAGCTAAGGCTCTTAAGAGCATATACAATGGCATGGCAAACCATTGACTTGCCCTGCCATTAATGGAGTGGAAGAGGATATAGTGGGTGAGGAAAAAATTGACATGCATGGCATAGGGCGAGGCACCCCAATTTGCGAGGCAGGCACGAGGCAAACTTAGATCAAATATTAGATTTTCAATTCCTTTTTCTTTCTTGTTACGGAGTTTTTTTGTAACCCTCCAATCCACTTGTCATGGCACTGCATGTTAGTTGGCTAGCTTTTTCATTCTTCTTTCTCACCCAACATTTTTTCATAACTAAAAATATAAACTCACTTTTTAAAAGTATTATAATCCTTTTTTCTAAAACTATACACACACAGAGAGATGTATTAAAACTAGACATTTTACCCAAGCCTATGCAGTTTTGCCAAATTTAATACTCCGTAGATAATTACTCCCTCTGTCCAACATAGATCTTCTCAGACACTATTCACAGAATCAAACTTAATTTTCTTTGTTTGTTTATTTTTACTATTCATTTCATAAAATAATATAATGTTGTCACATATAGCTTTGTAGAACTTTTCATGTAGTTTATTACTATATAGATTTTATGTTAAAATTTTGCATCTATATTCAAATAAATTAAATTGAAAATAAAGTCCATCGAGTCTCGTAACGCGCAACGGAAAGATCTTATGTGGACGAAGGGAGTACAATAATTTTGAATAATAATTAAATTATATGGAGTACCATTTATACTTGACATCAAAATATGTATTTTTACAAAAACAATAATAAAATTATATGGAGTACCATATAAACTTGACATCAAAAACATTATCATTGCCAAAAAATAAAAAAGATTAGAATTATTTTTATTAAAAAAGACAAGTAAAATAATTTTTAATAATTAAAATAATTTGAAAAGTGTAAAAATAATAATAATAAGAGTGACTTGCCACTACAAGGCATGTCACTCCATCCATTTGCCACACGGTGACTGGATTAATTTTGATTGGCTAAAATACTCCACGTCATCGTGTGACATTCCATTTCTTACTTGTTATTGCACATGCTCTAATAAAGTTTCTCATTGGGCCTTCATTCTTGATCTTTCCATAGAGGTGGAATGCCCACCCGGGCACCCACACACACCCCGGCCTCACAGAATTGTGAAGAAGTAAATCATGGTATAATCTCAATCTAATGCTTAGAGAAGTCGTCCGGAATAAAATTTTTACACTACCGTTGTCGGGATACGACTCTAGGACCAACGGGCTTGAATCTTTTCATTGGATCAGTTCAGCTACTCATGCGAGCAAATTGAATTTTATTGCGTGATAAAATTGAATTTTTGGGTGTGATGTGGCCAACACTCATCGGCAACAATTTTTTACTTCCTCCGCCCCTAAATCATTACTCTTTGTGCAAAATGAAATAAAATTTTAAATTTTTTCAAATCATTTTATTTAATAAATGGTATATAAATAAAAAAATAAAATTTGCATATTTTAAAAAGTATATCAAAAGTTCTACAAAATAAGATCGAAGTGATAATAATATTTTATTTCATCATATAGTCAATAAAATCACATAAATAAACAAAAGTTTTATGATTTTTATATAGTAAAGTGTGTATGTCATTCAGGGACAGAAAGAATATAACTATTTTTCCATCTAATGTATTATTTCTTTGTTTTAGTGTGTTTGCCTAGTTTGATTGTTTTTGGACAAAGAAGATTAAATTTGAATTTCAATTAAATAAAAAATGTAATATATATTAGTATAAAAATGATTTCATTAGATAAATCTTGTTGAAAAAATTCAAAATTTTATTTCATTGAACTAATCGATAAAATAAATCGTGAGTAACTGAAACTTAAAATTTATCAATTTGATTCAAAAAAATCTATTGTGGACGAAAAATACAAAGTCCCACTTGGAACTATTAAAAGCATCACCAAGGTTCACATGACATTGGGATAATTCAGAGGCGCTCCGGTGTCCCGTTCGTAAAATTGACGGTTTCTACCTCCCCTAACCCCCGGTAAACCACCCCCCCCACCCGCCCCGATCCGAACACACCCCCCTACCCCCGTCAATTGACTCCAAAGTCAAAATCAACTTGTGGGGTGCAATTGACGGGGGCAGGGGGTTTACCGGGGGTTAAGGGGTAGGAACCGTCAATTTTACGAATGGGGTACCGGAGTGCCCCGGGTCATCCCATGACATTGGAACCCAATGTCATGGAAACCCACTCTAAAAGCATATACATATCATTATATCAAACTCTAGCGGGACCTCAAGGAAAAAAGACATTCAAAAAGCAAAAGTAACTCAATCTCTCAAAGAACAACTTAGGGGCTGTTTGTTTCAGCTTTTTATTGGTTCAGATGTCTGAATGGTTCAGCACTTAATGGTTCAGACTGTTTGTTTCAGCCTCTTAATGGTTCAGATGTCTGAATGGTTAAGAGATTTGTCTCTGAATGGTTAAGTATTATACATAGTCTGAATGGTTAAGACCTCTTATCTGAATTGATCAGACATTTGCCTCTGAATAGTTAACAATATACTAGCTCTTAATGGTTCAGACCTCTTACTGGTTCAGCACTTAATGGTTCAGACCTCTTACTGGTTCAGCACTTACCTATTCAGAAGTTGTCAAACAGCCCATTAAAGATCGAAAAAAAGCAAAGATTACTAATATATACTCCGTAACTTTTTTTATCAAATTGTAGTACTCTTTGATCACGAATTAGATATACTTTAAAATAATTAAGTACCCGGAGTATTATAAAACTTTGATATTTCAAAATTATATTTTAAAATAAATCTAATTTTACTAAATTTATATTATAAGTAAATATATTTTTCTATAATTCGCCATCAAAAAACAGTAAAGTTTGACAAAAAATATTAAATTGTGATAAAAAAATTTTAAAACAATATTAGTATACGAGTCCGTGTATTAAAAAAAAGAAGTGTGAGTCCCTATATCTAAAAAGCACAAGCTTGAGTCCATTAGAAGCGTGAGTCCCTCTACATACTCATTTCAAAAAGAAATTATAGTTGACACTTTATGGAGCATTGAACCACCTCCCCATCAATGCTTCAACAACCTTTCTTCTCTCCATAATAATGAGGCACTCTAGTAATTAATGTAAGACTATCTTTATCATCTACTCCCTCTGTTCCTAAATATTTGTCACATTTATATTCTCAAAATAAAATATCAAGTTTTTTTAATTCATTTTATTTATATATTGGTATATAAATAAAAAATAAAATTTACATATAAAAAAACTACATGAAAAGTTTTTTAAAATAAGAGGTGTCAAGAATATTTACTTTATCAAATAACCAATGAAAACGTAGAAATAAACAAAAGTTTCCGCGACTGCTGAAAAAACAAACGTTACAAATAATTTGGGACGGAGGGAGTATATATTCTTTCCAAATTAATCTTCCTAGTTTTATTTTGAATAATTCCTAAAATAATCCTTTGTAATAAGGTGTTTTTTAAAATCAGTCTTCAATAAGTTTTAATTATTTACGTGGTCCTCTATAATTGAGATTTATTCCCAAGATGGTCCTTCGTAAATAATGTTATTATTGAGGGTATTTTGGTATTTTTTATCCGCTGAATTTAGAACTAATTCTTAAAATGATCATTTATAATGAAGTGTTTTCCCAAAATGATTTTTCATAATTAAAAATTTGTATTTGATTTGAAATTTAAAAGATTTTTTTATAGGTTTTAAATAATTAATGAATTATTTA